ATTTTAACTGCAGTCTGATAACTTAGTTGACAGATAAAATGAAAGAAAATATTGTAAGTACTCTTATCATCTTCTTTCTGGCACAACATATCTCTATTGGAAGATGATGGTTGTGAGCTCTATTTTAATTAACTAAATAAGTGGGGTTTTTTCTTCCAGGCCTTGGCCACCCCTCTGAGAGGGTTAGGGTAAGGGGTGGGGTTTGAAGTTGGAGAGTTTACCTTGGGCTGAGTTACTTGAAGGATGATTAGTACAAATCCAGGGCTGGTAAGCATATGGCAACTCATAATATGTTCGCTAGTTCTCTAGTTAATTTAAGTTAACCTGGATTTTAGAGCTAACTGTGTGGGCTTCAAGCAACTGACAGCCTTGATGTGTTATGTCCTCACGAAACTACGGTTTCCTTGAAGACATTATTTGCCTGTCTATTGAAAATATAATGGGACAAGCTAGTAACCTGCATGTGCAGGAAAGAACAGTTTATTGAAACTTACTCAGTGATGTAGCTAACTTCTTGCAAGTCAAAGGTAAACTTCTATTTTACATAACATAATCTTTTAACCTTTAATTCAATTTACATTCACACTATCACTTACAGATTCTTGATCCCCGCTTCACGGCAGAGAGTCTGGCAGCATTATTGTCCATCCCAACTAGTAAAACACTCCTTCGAAGGCATTTAGCAACTCACTTCCAGTCACTCGTAGGAGCAGAGTGTCATTGTGTGAAGGAAGAAGCTGCCGCTGACCCAACATTTCAGCAGCTAATGCCTGGCATCAAACACAAGGTAGAGTCAAAACATAGTTGACTGCTTTCTTGGATATTTTAACTTCCCTTCTCAGAAGATAAGGAATGTCTAGCTGACTTGAAAACATTTTCCCTCTAAAACACAAACTGTAAAAATTTATATCCAACTGAATAGCTAATGCCTAGAATGTTTCTGAAAAGAACTAACTTGAATTGGGAAAGATATGCAGTCCAAGATTGGTGTTTTGAGCAAGCCGCAGTAATGTTTTTGAGACAAAATTATTATGTTCTATCATATTTATATTTCACCCTAGAAGATAAAAAAAAATCATGATTTCAACATGTGTTGAGACAAATCATTCATCAACTGTTGAGTTTGTTTTTGTCATCCAAAGAACCATATTTTCAGTACAGTTGACTAAATTGTTTCACTTGCTTGTCCGGAATTGTAATAGATTGTGAAAAGGACAGTATCTTTGGGTGCTCTCCGGAAGCGTGGGAAAGGGGACCTGGAACTGGATGACTATGTATGTCCAATGGACCTTGAAGTGCCTCCAGCACTAAAGTCTTATGTCATGCAGCGAGGTAGAAGGTCAACTGACCCCATCCGATCCAGGATGAGAAGTGATGATGAAGGCAGTCTTCAGGTATTTACAACCATCTGCAAGAATGGTAGCTTTGAATGAGTACTAGATTATGTGGCAGAGCTTTTTGGTGGAGTGGTCAATTTTGAAAGTGCAATGAAACGATAATTATTACTACATAACGACAAGATACTTTCTAAGCTGGCTTATCAGTTCACAAGTGTGAGATAATTTTTTTATTTTTTAGACTGATGAACATGTTTCAGGAACAATAGGTGCCTTCTCTCAGGAACTTGACTCTCTAACAGTAAGTACTGACATTTGTTTTGCTAATAATTGCAGTTATTGATTTATTGATTAAATCTGTATGAAGAAAGTCATAAGTTTTACAGACTGATAACTGGGATTTCCTGTTCACCAGATCTCAGGGATCACTTCACTACATTGTATTTGTGTTTTGATTATCACTCATAGTCATTTGCATTCTTATGGGTCGGCCAACCTGAAACAACATCACATTATAATAGGTGTTACAGTGTGTAAGATTCAGATGCGCCTAGAGAAGGGTGTCCATTAAGGAGAAGATCTGGAGTCAGCTTTGCTGTAATACTTTTCTATTTGATTGTTTTCACCCAACACAGTTCAAAATAAGAAATTCTACACCCAAGAAAAAAAAACAGCAACAACAACAGGAGAAAGGCATTATTGGCGAGGAAAATACTTTGGGAATCATTTTAACCAAACTATTATTTTCTCCTTTGTTCCATTTTGTAGCACATGTTGAAAGAAGAAAGACATAATGCCAGGGATGCCCTTATCTAGTAAAGAGTGTTTCCTTTGACTGGTTGCGCTGAATTTCCTGTCCACGAAGTAAGGAGCATAACAGAGAATAACAGAGGAACTGCTTTGTCAACAGGCCTTGACAAAACCTGGATCAGAACAGATTAGGTCAATCCCTGTTGTTCACTATATGAGAAAAGATTGCAGGGGTTGATCTGATCTGTCCAATCCAGGTTTAAAAAATGGTCCTTGTCAACTCTCATAGGAGCTAGTTGCATTCTAGCAATCAAATTTTTTAATCAGCATTGTATAGATTAGATTTTAAATGGTTTCCTTTTGCAAGATACCACATCTATTTTTTTTGCATGCGTGGCTTCACAAGCAGTCCACAAGAATTGAATACTTCATCCTGATTGGCTAGTTCTGTTATGCATATATCGGGCAAATTAATTTGGCCCATTTATATGGTTTGCTAGCCATGCTTCTGTTGGTTAATAGATGATGATGAGGGAATTGGCAAGAGGTCTAGAGAACAGAGTTGTTTTCTAAACAGACTAGGTACTAAAGCTAAAGATATTTTATAACCGTACCGAAATTCTCTACATTTATATGCTTATAATAGTTTATTATCATACAATAACTAATAAAATTAAGTTGACACACTCTTCTTGGGAGCATGTTTCTTATTTTGATTTTGTTTTTTTTGTATTTGCTTTTGGAGAAAAATGTATTGCAGAGTTTGCTAGTTTTAAAATTTGCTTAACTTCAATATGGTTGGTTAACATCCAACATATCAAATCTCAGTGTTACAAAACCAACTTATTATATAAACACCAATGAAATACCAGGTGAGCTTTCCCGCGAAAACTTGATATCTTCACATGGGAAAATATCACCATTGCTTTGGCTTCATAATAAATCGCGCCTTCCACACCAAAAGACTATTGAAGGTAAATGGTTTTGTATTTCACTGGTGTTTATATAACAAATAGAACATGACATGGCCCCTTGGAGATACAAAATTTCTCTTCGAGTGTTGAAAAAATATTTCACTTGTTCGGTACGCTCACTCATGAAATATTTTTCAGCACTCGAAGATACATCTCGTATCTCCGCGTGGCCATGTAATATCCTCTATTTCACAATCCTTCATCCTTGCCAAACAATTATTACTTCCCAACCAAACTGCTACAAAATTGTATTCAACAATGAGGAAAAAGGAAATGTTCCAAAGATTTTATCTAAAATCCCAGGTGACCCAGGCTTTGTATAACAGTACTGCAAAATAGCGTGTTTTTATGTTTATGGGGTGAAGTTCCAATCAGAAAATTTGTACAAGGATTACCGAATAATATCCACGAGTCTTACCCTGTAGTTAATTGTTTTTGCCCTTAATGCTCAGTCAGAGGCTCAAATTCCCCCTCCAAAGACAAAAACTAAACTTTGTGGTAAGTTTCATGAATGGAGTTTAATTCTTCAGAAAATTTGTCACCAGATTTTCGTGATCTTCATCCCATACAAATAAAGTACTTTCAGTATTCTGATTGTCTTTAAACTGCACTAATAATAATTATTATGGTGTACTAAGTGAAAGGGGAAACACTTTACTGTTCTGCATTTGTTTCTGAGGATTGAAAATTAGCGGACCATATAGATTAAGTAATTGGCCAACACATCATATTGTTCAACATTTATTTCTGCGCCTTTTACAGTCAATTATAGTAATCAGTTGCTCAACATAATACTCAAAGTCTTTGATCAACATAATCATAGATACATCACACTACTGGTAATTAACTGGAAGCTACCTCAAGCAACCTGTTTCACAAGCAAAATATTCTGAGTACTTCCCATCAAAAGCCTGAACTGCAAGATGCCTCCTATTCACTAGCAAGGGTACAACTAGAGGCCATTATTGTTTTGATCTACACAAAACAGATGCAATCAACTGTTCCTCTTTAGAAGCAGGACAAAGAAATCTAGCACAAAAACTTGAAATGCACTGAAGCCTACCGTAAACTGTTGGTGTTATTAGCATCATTCTTAAGAACATACATATCTGTATAATAATCATCTTTTTCTTGACAGTGCTGTAGAATTCTGGAAGTAAAATTAATGAGTAAACCCAACTTGGAGGTACCATAGGCCTGTCAAACAGAGCTTAGACAGGTAAGGTGCACTAGCTACCACTCATATGAAAATGAGTATAGTACTTTGCATGTGAATGAAATTATTTTCATATAACAGACAGGATGACTTACTTTGAATCATTTCAACCCAGAAAAACGCTGGCAAATTCCCGAAAATTACTACATTCCTGAAAACAGAAGACCAGACTAAGAAAAACATCCACCAAATCAAATAATGTGACCTGACAATTTCTCACTTGAAATATGATGATGGTGGTTTTCTCAGTGTGTTATCTTACTATTCTTTGTCAGAGTTTGAATATCCAATGGTGTGGACATAATATTCCTTGCTTATTTCCTTGGTTAGACACTGTTCACAATCACATTATGGGGAGTCTTATCAGTAACTAATACTGACATAAGTAAGGGCTGCTACTTTCAGAATTCAACAGCATTCTATGAATAGACCCTTGTTCTTACGTCAGTGATAAAAACAAATCTTAAAAAAATATAAAGAACAGAGCTGTAGATTGAGAAAAACAGATACATCCCATGCTGGAAGCCTTAGATAACATTGATTATGACATTTCAGTTGCATTTTGTAACAAAATAATTATTATTAAACGTAAACCTAGCTGTTGTTTCACGTTAATTACTTGCACACTTTTCAAGATAAAAATCAGTCAAGCCAGTAGTCCTATAAGACACAGCCAGTTCCAAACTTGTAATACATTAAATTGAAGTGTTATAAGAGAGTAGATTACGAAGAATTTTTTGTGACTAGAATTAAGCCGACAATCAGGCCATACAATCCCAGAACTTCTGCAAAAATCAAAATAAGAATCATGCCAACAAATAAACGAGGCTGCTGAGCTGTTCCTCTGACGCCAGCATCTCCAACAATACCAATGGCAAAACCTGAAGCTAGACCGCTGAATCCAACACTCAAGCCTGCACCCAAATCAAGAAAACTTCTGCAAAAAATTAATGGAACCAAACGGTCAAAGCACTGAAATACATGTTTTGAATACATAATGTACAGTAGTGAACATGGACCTAACAGGAAGTTCCCCAGGAGGAAGAAAGAAGTTTGCACAAGTTCTTACCCTTGGGTCCCCAAGGGAAGCTAATTAACACAGGATTTCTATGGGTGCAGTTGTTGCAAAGTTTATCAGAAAAAAGGAGAGCCCTCTGCCCTAGGGTTTACCTGTTCATTAATAGTTAACTATGCCTAAGCTGCACTTAACATGTGAATACACAGTGTGCATCATTTTAGAGAGATGTAGTTTAACGTTTACGGCAAACAGCAGAGTTAAGTTGAAGATTTCTCCACATAGGAAATGAGCAGACTAAAACAGTCTAAAATGATTCTTATGGATGAAAATAATGTGAAACTACTAATTATATTCTACAAGTTAGTAAAGAATACTCAAAGACAAGTCAAGAACAAACTTGGTCACGTGGCACAAAATTCAAGTTTGCCATTTCCCAAAAACATGAAGCTAAATCTCTGCTATTGTTGGTCAATAACTCCCAACACTGTTGGACGTTACATGTTGGGTCTGTTTGCAAATCCTGTTGAATGGTGTTGTGTTGAAACCAGTCAAACGCTCAGCTACGTCCAAATGGAAGCACAAACTCTTAACATTGTTGGGCCAGCATGCTGGGAGTTGTAGTGTCTGTTTGCACATAGAGTGAGGATGACAAGTCCTTAAACTGCTCATTAAAATTTACAGTTGAGTTGAAGCATGCTTTATGAGGAAGAATAGTTTTCATGATCAATGAATAGCAACAGTTAATGCACATGGATTTTTTGTGTTCTGAGAAATCTGTTTCAATGCAATTTTGTTCAACTTTCTCCCTTTGCTTTTTGAGTGTTTTCAGAGGTACTGGTTAAGTTCACTTTAAAACTACCTCTACAGTGCTTTATCCTTTGGAAATAGGAATTTATGATTACTTTGACTTGTAGCACGATACACATGTACATCAGTGTAACATAGGGCACTTTTATGAAAATGAGTAAAATATTCCCAAACCATCATTACTTGCCAGATATTAAGTAATTAACATCAAAGAAACATATTTGGAAAATTTTCATGGTATAATTCTTGTCTACAGCTTATTTTAGAAATTACCCAGAATCCTTTTTGGGCGTGGCATCTGACTTTTTGGCTTGCTTAGCATGACTATTATCGCTAAAATACAACAAATTTATTAAGCTCGAAGTGCTTTTTGTCTGCCTCTTTCTTTTTCTTGATCTTTTCTTCCCTCCACAGTTATTTGAAAGGCTTTTCTTTTCGGTATTCATCTCGGTATTGTGTAACGCAATCGTGACGTCCACTCTATTTTTACCTCACGTTTTCCCGCTTTTTGCCCCTGATTTGTTATAAAAACACCCCCAGATACTAAGGAGAGGTTACACAGGACTCCTTCGATGTTTCTTGTGGATTTCGGCTGGAAAATGGCTTGAATTCAAGTTTCATTTGGGAAGTTTTCTGCTGCGAGTGTGGTGGTAATTCGATCGTTACGCTTAGACAAACATGGCATTCAAATGGAAATATGTTTCCGATTCACCATTTGTAGAATTTCTTCGTTTTAAGCCTACTGAAGACTAAAAACCTTACCAGGATTTGAAGACCAGTAACTGAACTGTGTTGCAGCTGTGTATCAGCGACCGTTGTTAACTAGAGGCTGAGATACAGGTTTTCTTTTGGGTAAGTAATATTTAATTTCACACATCAAAAGTACACAACAGTTTAGTTTCCGAACACGAAAATTCTTTATTTCTTCATCGCCGTGAGTAATCTTTAAAAACCTTTCTTACTCGATGGTAAACAATGTTATGAACTTTACTCAGACGAATTATCTTCTTTTGTAGGTGCGTTTGGAAGTCGCTAGCCTTATATTTGTAAGGCATGGAGCGCTGTTGGACCTTGAGCGTTACACAGGCACTTAATGGAAACCGTCCCTAGAATTATAATTCTCGTTATTTGAAAAATAAATGCAGAGAACTGTAATTTTGCGTATGGTGTCGTTTTTTCCTATTTAATATTTCTGCTCTGTTGAATTTTCTTTATGAGATAGTGTTAAGGGTGAAATTTTACTTTTTTAACTATTTCATGCAAATTAGCTGTTACGCGTTACACGCAGATTTTGTAACTATTTTCTTTCATCTTCAAGATTTTTTTGTTCCTAGGTTCTTCCAAATGATATTTTTTTAACATATCACTTAACTACAATCCTTGTTGAAGTAAGGTAGAAAGTTTAAACGAAATCCGTCATTAGCTTGCAAAGATATAGGAAAATATATTGGAGCAACCACTAATGTACATGTGTATCGTGCTACAAGTCTTTATATACTCCAAGTACATTGATTACCTTCAGTTAACCTAACAAAACTAAATGTACAGTTTACATAACATAAATGGTGTGGAACCAAATAATAAAAAAAAAAATGGATAACCATTTAATGAAACTCTTTTTAACGAAGTGATCATACTCACTTGTACAGAGTGTAGTCGGTGCTAACTGCAAAAGAACACAAAACATCAGTTTGTCACAGTTCCTAACACCCTCCCTTGAGCTAAAATTGCAAGGGGCTTTAGTATTAACCCCCCCCCCCGACCCCCCCAATTAGAGTGAGCATTTTGTCTTGTGAATACAGTTGAATCCAGATAACTCAAATCTTCTTGAAAAAAGTTTGAGTTATAGGGAGTATGAAGCAAATGACCAGAAATAAAAAAGAAATTAAGTGAATGGATTGAGAGAGAATGCAAGTATCATGCAAACTTCACGTTAAGGGCAGCAAGAGAAATAAATAAATATTTTGAAAAGAAAATTAAACAACAAAGCCTGATTAATATACAGGGATGGACACTGAATTTGAATTGGAGTGACATAAAAGTAAAGACAAAGAATTGACACTATTATTTATAAATAAATTAAATGTTTTAAACTTCAGTCTGTAATTTTTGTTTTTAACCTGTTACGTGCTTAAAACATGATTCGAGTTATCGAGGGTAAAATTATATAGCAATTGTCTGAAGGGAAACAAAAATTACTTCAAGTTAGCAGAAGGTTCAAGTTACAGTAACCATGTGAAAGAAATTTAAAGGAAATCAACTTTGGTTCAAGTTAGCACGAGTTTCAAGTTATCAGGAGTCAACTGTACTCTCATTGTCCAAGGTAGTGTGTAAAGACATATGAGCATACTCCAGTTCACTTAACATTCATTACCAACAAAAGTGCAAGACTACACCACAAAGAAGTGTTCACAAAGTACCAGAGCCTGTTCCATTTATTGGAGTTATTAGAGAAGGAGGGCTTATAGGGTTAATTCTGCCATTGATTAATTTACATGCAGTGTCTATTCAGGGTTCTCATTAAGTTTTGAAGTAGACAGCTAGGATGTAAAAGTGGGCAGCTTGGCAATCGACAATTGCTGAAAGTAATTTTAAGGTCTCACTCTTGTATCTTACTCTTTATACCCAAAGAGGACGTGGCTCAAAATTAAAGGTAGCTAGTTTTTTGACTGGTTACCAGCACTTTAAAGATAACCCTGCTAATTTAGTTATATTTTCTATGATGGATGATGTCAACCACCCCCAAACCCAACTGGTTCCCATGAGTAAGATAATTAACCTGGCATGTTAAAAGTGTGAGCTGGCAGGCCTCTTAATTCCCTTTGTATCAAAAACCAGCTACTATGAACGGTTTATGAAGTAGAGTAGATCAGTTAGCTCAAATGCTATTTATATATGGCCATTAAATTACCATAACTGAAATTTGTTTCTGTATTTACATTGCTTATAGCTTTTAAATTCATGCAATTTCTATCTTGCCGATTATTTTGAAATTGCATGTGTGTGTTTTCAATGCTCCTATGAGTCACGTGGGTATATAACCTATCTGTGTCTAGAAAAGCCACCATCTTCTATTAAATTATTTAAAAATAAACGTAAGCTTAACAGTAAATACACTTGGTGTGTAATATGTTCATAGTAACTTTTCACCAGTCTTAAGAAAAACAAATTCAAAATTTAAAAAAAACTTTGTAGTAAATGCAAAAAGTTCTTTTTGTGTACAAAACATTTCTGAGTCATGACTTCATGCAGATGACAAAAACTGTTTTCAGTCGACATTTTGAAATGAGACTACTCCTGTAAACAAAAAAAAGTTTCATTTTTGCCTAGACAAAAAGATCATTTAGTTTTGTTTGTAAAAATATTTATTAACAAGCAACAGTTTGACAGTACGGTGAGTGAGGTTAACAAGGTTTCATCGCATGATCAAGCCTACTCACTTCCATTGCCGATAAGAACAGCTACAACAAGACCATAGATAGCGAGGATACCGGCCATAACTACTGGAATGATGGACTTCACAATGAGTTCTGGTCGCATCACACTCATGGCAGCAATCCCTGTTCCACTTTTGGCCGTCCCATAAGCAGCACCTAAAGCTAAAGAGTGTTCATACATAAGATCAATTTCGGCCTAGAAGATTCACGACTTATTATTAATCACAGAACACTTACCACTAAATACCATTGCGGAAGTCGCCCCCATGACTCCGAAGAAGGCCACATAAGATGGTTGGTCAGACATTTTCTCCTGGCAAAAGTTTTTAATATCAAATGTAGTATGAAATGACGAAACACCAGAAACACCAGCTGCTAATCAATATGGCGGCGAGCATACAGTTAATCATGTGATAATATCACGTGCTTTCCTTGTCCAGACCTCTGCTCTCTCCTGGGAAAAAGGAGCCGGAGCGGTTACTTATTTCATAATGGCTGACAAGTGGAGATAGAAAATATAAGATGTGGCGAAATCCATGGAGACTTGAACGAGGAAATCTGAGCATTGGCTTGTTTAATGGTTTAAGAGGTTTTTGTTCGTGGAAAAATGCCAGGTTGCAATGTGAATTATCCAGAGGTACGTTATCGTAGAGTCAGGGTTATTGTAAAACTCAAAACCAAAACACACCAACTGGAATGTAATGAAATGGAAAATCTCTTGCTGTCTGCAAATTGAAATCAGCTGTAAAAGACCACTCATAAAGAAAACTAGACTTAAGAATCTGCATGGGTGTTCTGGGTTCTGGCCCGGGTAGTGGCCCTGTGTACTTTTTGAAATGAAATAAAACAAACTAGAGCGAAATGAAATGGAAAATCTCTACTTTGCAGAATGGAAACCTCGTGTTGTTTGCAGAAGGGAATTGACTGAAAAAGATCACTCACAATTTTGACTCAAGTCCTTGTTCAAAGGTCATGTTAGCCCCCCTATTTAATCAAGTCATCGATAAAATTGATCTAAAACAGTTTGCACTCTGAGGCAGATCAACTACGCATGGCGATGCGCTTGTTTACTTGCTTCACTGTATCCTAGAAGCGCTTGACAACAGCCATTGCTATGCTCGCATCTTGTTTACCGACTTTAGCAAAGGATTTGACCTGGTGGATCATTCTGTTTTGGTATCTGAGCTTTGCGTTTTGTGGGTGCATGAGGCCTTAAGGTGACTCGACCCAGTTTTTTTGGGGGGGTACCATCCTACTTTGAAGCTCTCTGGTATCCCCACCTTTACTTTTATCGTAAGTCTAACACATAGAATGGATAACATATAGATCAATCTACAATATAACATAAAATTTTTGGCGATCGGAGTAAATGTCACGTGGTTATAATGCCACGCCCCTTTGAGGTCTGAGTCGAAAATCTGCTGTTGCCGGCATTTTTTCGTGAAAATCTCTCGGCTACACATAGTGCGCATTAGTGCCTTGCGCTGAACAGAGTTTCACCAAAATCGCAAAGACCCAATTCGAGAAATTCAGCGGTTTCCAAATTTAGGTCATAATTTATGCGAAAATGATAAGCAAACTTTACACGGATTATATCTAATAAACTATGAGATTCATCTCTTTATTTTGGGCATCGTTATAACAGATGGGTCCTTGCAAGTCAGCAAAACGCTTTAGGGCCTTGTAAATGCGCGCGATTTCGAGCAAAGCAAACATATAGAAATTATAGTTTTCGCTATTTGTTGACGTTTGTCAGCGTTTAAGAGTCCTTCTCACGAAAAAAGCATTTTCTTAAAAATTCGTAGTTTTTTTTCCTTCAAATTTTTTCAGGGCCACAATTGATTAACTAACTACCCGGACTCTGAATTTCATGGTCATTGAAAAACTGTGACATTATCTTCTATAAGCCCAAACTTGAGTAAACATTGAAGATTTTTAGCGTTTTGGCTGAGTTTGTGCTTTGGGAGTTGTCTATTGTTTCTAGTCTGTCATTATACAGCATTCTTGTTCAGCACGCGTGCAATGACCGCGCTTGGCTGACTTCCGAATGCTCACCGAGATATAATAATTTTGGTACAGTGAGACAGGCCATCGCGTGATACATAGAGGTTTAAGTCACAATTTTTAATCAATTCTCGTGCTTCTTGTGCCTTTGCAAAAAAATCAAGAAGTGCTACACACTAAATCTACTTACTATTAAAAAAATATCATTTTTTCATAGGTTTAATGCAAGCCAATAATTAAACCAACTCGTGACGGGAATATCTCGGTGAGCATTCGGAAGTCAGCCAAGCGTGGTCATTGCACGCGTGCTGAACAAGAATGCTGTATAATGACAGACTAGAAACAATAGACAACTCCCAAAGCACAAACTCAGCCAAAACGCTAAAAATCTTCAATGTTTACTCAAGTTTGGGCTTATAGAAGATAATGTCACAGTTTTTCAATGACCATGAAATTCAGAGTCCGGGTAGTTAGTTAATCAATTGTGGCCCTGAAAAAATTTGAAGGAAAAAAAACTACGAATTTTTAAGAAAATGCTTTTTTCGTGAGAAGGACTCTTAAACGCTGACAAACGTCAACAAATAGCGAAAACTATAATTTCTATATGTTTGCTTTGCTCGAAATCGCGCGCATTTACAAGGCCCTAAAGCGTTTTGCTGACTTGCAAGGACCCATCTGTTATAACGATGCCCAAAATAAAGAGATGAATCTCATAGTTTATTAGATATAATCCGTGTAAAGTTTGCTTATCATTTTCGCATAAATTATGACCTAAATTTGGAAACCGCTGAATTTCTCGAATTGGGTCTTTGCGATTTTGGTGAAACTCTGTTCAGCGCAAGGCACTAATGCGCACTATGTGTAGCCGAGAGATTTTCACCAAAAAATGCCGACAACAGCAGATTTTCGACTCAGACCTCAAAGGGGCGTGGCATTATAACCACGTGACATTTACTCCGATCGCCAAAATTTTTATGTTATATTGTAGATTGATCTATATGTTATCCATTCTATGTGTTAGACTTACGATAAAAGTAAAGGTGGGGATACCAGAGAGCTTCAAAGTAGGATGGTACCCCCCCCAAAAAACTGGGTCGAGTCACCTTAATTAGATGGATTGGGGCCTTCTTGACGGGAAGGTCGCAACAAGTCAAAATCGGTAGTGCTTTGTCCAACAGCGTTTATTCCAAGGGGCGGTATCCCTCAGGGGACAAGACTAGCCCCCCTGTTGTTTGCAATCCTCGTCAACAATCTAGTGAAGGACTGGAAAACTAGAGTTAAGTATGTGGACGATCTCTCAGTCTTAGAGATTATTCCTAGATGTTCAACCAGCATGCTGCCCTTTGTAGCTAGGGATATTTGTTCTTATGCTAGTAGTCATGGTATGAAGCTAAATCCATCCAAATGTAAAGAGTTACGCATAGATTTCTTACAGTATAAGCCCTCCGACCTACCTCCCTTACAGATGTCTATTTATTTATTTATTTATTACAAATTCACTCCACTGCATAACAAGCAAATAATGAAATGAAATAAGCTAACACTACTTTAACAAACAAACAAACAAACAAACAAAAAATGTTGTGGAGAAGGAGACAACCAAAAGCACCAATGTGCCATACTAGGGATGTCCCCACTAATTAAAATATAACAAAAATATGTACAAATAGAAATATAAATGTTCTAGTTATCCTTAATAAAGCTTAACACATTTCTTTTAAAAGTTGCAATACTGTTTGATTCTCTAACATGATTGGGTAAACCATTCCATTCATCTACAACACGGTTAAAAAAACTATATTTAAAACCATCAGTTCTACTAAAATTTGGAACAAGGTCCTGTGTGTCATTTTTCCTCAAGTTATAACCTGTATTTCTGTCCTTACAAAATATGAGCTTATTTGAAATGTCAATATCATAATGTCCATTAATTACATTAAAAAAAAATGTAACATCTCTAGTGAACCTCCTATTAGATAATGACAACAATTTTAGCTTAGATAGTCTAGTATTATAATCATCATCAGACCTAGTGATCCATCTGGTAGCTCTTCGCTGAACAGCCTCCAGTTTATCAATGTTATGTTGATATGTCGTTGTTATGTCGGGCAGTATTATAGAGCAGGTGCCATCTTATAAGTTGCTTGGTGTCCATCTGTCGCACAATTTATTGTGGCTTATTCACTGCGACTATATTGTGAAGAGAGCACGCAAGCGTCTCTACGTTTTGCATGTCTTAATGAAATCAGGCCTCCCACCAGCTGATCTCATTCAGGTTTATTGTAGCCTTGTGTGGCCCATTTTAGAATATGCATCTCCGGTATGGGCCGCGTTACCCAACTGTCTGGTTCAATTGGTGGAAAGCGTGCAGAAGTCTGCACTAGGAATAATTTCTCCAGATTACCCTTATGAGTCGGCACTCGTGCGCTGTGGCTTGCCTACACTGTTGTCGCGCCGTGATGAGGCTTGCAGGCATTTTATATCTAACATCAAGGAGTCCGGGTTCCTTTCACACCTGCTGCCACAGCCCACGAATGTCGCTCATGGGTACGGGTTGAGGTCGGGTTTTTCCCGTTCTGAATTCCGCTTTGTCAGAACGGACCGCCTTAGTAATTTTGTTACCCACAGTTACATTAAGGTTTAAATGTTTTTGCCTTCTGTGCCATGTGTAATAATGTGTTCTGCGTATTCTTGACCTCCCTTGTAATTTAGTGTTATACACTACCAAAGGGTTTAATAAACTGATTATTAAATGTCGCAAATTGTTCTTGCTCAACAATTTTGCTTTACATTCTGCACATATGGTGTAAAAGTCTTTTTTTTTCTCAAATCAGTTTTGCAAGGTCCAAAGTCTTGGCATGAGATTTTTGTCTCACTCTCTATTCTCACTCTCACTCCAGATCTTATGTTTAACTGCTCTTGTTCTTGACCTGTGCCAAAATACAGGCTGTTTTGCAGTCTAGATCTATTTGGGCCTTGCACTTTTCCTTTTCGCTTAAAGTCAATAATTTTATTTCGTTTTACAATGCATTATACACAGGATTTTTCTTCTGTCAAAGAATTAAGACCTTTAGAAGGTTTTCAAGCCATTCAGGAAATGATGATTTCTCAGATGATTCTAACAAGGCAATCAGTAAGAAAGCTACCAACAAAGGTATTATATCAAGTTGCTTGTAGGGTGCAGTAGCCAGCCTTTTCACGAGAGTTGGTGGGAGGGAAAAAAAGTGCTAAACTATCTAAATTTAGGTCACTCTTGAAAGAAAGTTCATGTATACCACAGTACCTCCAGAGGCATGTGCATATCATATGTACAAAAACATTTCAGGAAAACTTATGGGTGTTTTTGCTTGGCTTGTTTTTATTAAAGATTAAGATGAAAATCACTTTTAATCATTTTGTTATTGAATTTAGGTCCTTGCATGTAGCAGTTACTTGGCAGGCAAAATTTACACTTCTCTTCTGCAGGATTGAACTTTGCTTTAACACTTTGTTAGTCAGAGTAATTTGTATGTGTCACCTTTCCCAAATTCACATACATGAATTTTTCACAGTCCTTAGTTATTATGATCAACTGTTTGATGTAAAAATCATAATAAGTTGTTTAAGGGTTCCTGAGTTAGAAAAATATACATATCACTTACCACATTTCGTTCTGTTATTTTTGCGTTACACTGTTAGGTGAACGATCAAAAAGGCTCTTCAAGATGCCAGCAGGTGACATGAATTATAACAGAAAGTATTATCAAAATACCTTCCTTTCAGCCACCCGAGCTATGAGTGACTATCTCCTAAAACCAAGGTACCGATAGGCTGATCTTTGTGAGATTAATCAAACAATTCACATTTTTTATGCAACATTTTGCATGATTAATTTTAACCTACAGTAATCATTAATCAACGCCAGTTGACATATCAGTTGAGTATACTGTCATAAAGGTTGTGTTGATTAAAAGTGATAGGAGGTCCACAGAAGTTGCAGCTGTGAGTGAGAGTGTTGGTTCTTTTATGCTGATAATATATTGACCATGCAGTACGTTTGTGCCTGAGTGTGGATTTGGTCTGCTCTAAAAATACCACAATCACATGCAGAAATGTTGTGTTTATTCTCTTTCTTTGAATCTCATTTTACTTCATTTTATCTATATTTATCTAATACTGTTTCCTTGTATTAAACTGCAGTGATTTAGAAGGTCTTAAGACTACTTCAGTTCGTAGTGCATACAGTGACCCTGATCAACCTCCTGATGTTTGTTATTTAAAGTCCGATGTAGAACAAAAGTAAGTCTATCAGTATAATAGCATTTTGTGTTTTTAAGTTTATGATTATTAAACTTAAAAACACAAATGCATCATTGAATCTACGATTAATAGCTTGAAGTAATAATAGATAAAGAGCTCAATTAGACATGAAGAAGATCATTGCAGTTGTAGACACAACTTTTGCAGCTGCAAAACTAAAGCCTGAAAAATTCAGGTTTATACAGGATTCACACCCTTGATGTCTGCAGTATACTTGTCAGGAGTGGAGAGTATTCTTTTATTTCCTGAAAACATTTTTGTCATTTACTTGGTATGATTGATAAATCTGTCGCATTCAAAAGTTATTGGTGTCTTTGCCCGTCTGAAGGGTACATGTCTCACCCTTTGCTGTCTTTGCTTGTAACCTACTTATGTGATGGCGTAACTGTTTTACCCTTTTTTTCCGTACAGTACCTTACCAAAAACACTAGAGAAGTAAAATAAACGAGGAAATATTGCGTTTTCCTTCATTTTTATCTACTGAAAATGTCCTTGGGAAAAAAGAAGGAAATGGCATTTCTGAGCCCCTAAATTTGAAAAAAAATACTGGGGGACCATGCCCCAAGACCCCCCAAGTCTGGAGTACCTTCCGCGGTCTAAATATGTGCATACATGTACATTGTAAAAATCTCACACTACGCCCCTGCTAGTACAGTACTTTTACCAATAGTGAGCTAACAAGCCAACTGCTTTAAAGCATGTATAAGAATAAGCATGATGTGGGTTAATTAAGTCCTGTTACCAAGCCCATTTAAACCCTTTGTAAATGAAAATTTTTATGTACAATATATCATCACACTGGCAGATTTTTTAAATCCACTCTGGTAGGTACCTAAGCACTAATAAATAGAAACAACAACGAAAATGTCCTTCATATGATCACATCACCTTTTTGCTATATGAAATTGTGAAAATATTCAGGACTGTTTTTTTAAAAACAGTAAACTTTGTAACCTACAGGGCTTATGAAGTCTGGGGAGGCCCTGAAGGTCTGGCAAAAGAGATCTGGGACAGGAAAAAGGCATATGAAGAAAGTGAACGTTACAGAAAAGGTATTTGAAGGGCTTTTAAAAAAGTCTTTTCATCAAGGGTCACATTTGTGTGCGAGGGGAGCTTTAGTGTTCAACACCATTGTGTACACTGTTTTTTTGTAGGTCTAGGAGCACTTATAGGCCATTTAAAGAAAACAATAAGGGATCATTCTAAGAAGAAGGAAGAAAACAAGGTATTTATAACTCCACCTGTGTTTGGTTTTTAACCACACAATTTACAATGACTGCCAAATAAATAAAAACTGAATTCTGACAACCTTGAAAAACTGCATGGTTTTATATTACCCCTGTTTGTTTGAAAGCAAAAGCCATGCTGGCATATTACGATTCATCATTTTTTTTGCAAATTTGAGTGTCTTTGTATTCTTTCTCATGAGGTACAGAACGTTGAATTCTTGAAACCTATTTACATCATACATTATTTGCTACTTTAGATTTGATTTGTTTTGTTTCTAATATTGTAGCAATTTGGTGAAAGAACACAGAGAAATATGATGTTAAGAGGCTCTGCTAAAGTTGTGACTTATGCAATTTGCAGGTATTTGTGGATGACTGGTTCTGCTGGTTTAGTACCAGCTTCAGCAGTTAAAGTTAAATTGATATAAATACTTTTTACGAGAAGGTTGAAGATGACTTGCTACTTTGCAATTTGTATTTATTTTTTGTACCTCTACTTTTTGCAATAACTTCCTAATGTTATTGGAAGAGGATTGTGATTGTGACTTTATAATCAGCAAGTAGATTTATCATAGATGATAACGGTCAAAATTAAATTCAGGTTAACTTATAACATATACACCAAACTAGGATCATGCATTATTTTGATTTTTTTCTATTTCTCACATCTTCGCAAGGAAGTTTTGAACTCCCACAGAAGGGTTTCCAAAAATTATTGGCCTTACTGGCAGGCTCCTGCAGGAGATTACTACATTATCACAATATTTTATTTACAAATGCTTGGGAATGGATTAAGTGTTTTGACCAATGCTACTTAGTGACATTGGGGATATATTTTTATTTATGCATATGCTAAAGAGCAGAAAGAAACAGGCTTGACTTTTTCTATTCTTCCTGCTTCGAGAGGTGGTAAATGTACGTTTATATTTTAAAATACATGTAATTAGGGTAATGTTGATTCTAGGTAATTTTTTTTATTGATTACTGTAGCATGTGAGTTTGTTTATAATACTGGTGAATAAGCAAGAATTCTTGTTTTCCTTTTTTAGTAACTTAGCTGTCATGCTGTTTAAGTTTGGTGCATATTTGTACACTGGATCAGCAACCATGCTGTCGGAATCTATTCACTCACTGGCTGACATGTTAAACCAGGTATGTATTACCTACAAAGAGTGGTGTACATGGTTGCAAGTCGTTGACAGTTACTTTATCAGAGCAGGGGGTTAGGAACCACTTACAAGGACAGTGAATCAAACACATTGAATGGAAACCTGACACCTGTGTCTGTACCCTCTAATATCTGTCATTCTTGCCTACGAATAAATCACTTTTTCATAACAGTTACTAATGACAGAGAGCATTCAATTTTTCTAAACACCACTTTTCAAAAGTATAGCTATCATGACCTTTACACCTAAGAGAGTGTTAAGAAAAATACTATTCTATAGTTACTTTTAATTTTACCTGTGAACTTAAAGGTCAGGACATAAAAAACAGGCAGTTGACTGCGAGCAGTAATTTTATGAGATGCATATTTTATTTCAGTGCCTGTTGGCTGTCGGTATTTTGCAGTCCATCAAGAAACCATCTCCAGATCATCCGTAAGTCACCAAGAAGCTTCCAGGCACTTCTTAATGTCACCTGAATAATCAGGTGACATTATTATCATACTTTAATAAACCATAATTAATTTTGATCATTTTGAGGAGAGTGTGTGAAAATCTTCAGTATCTACAAATCTGTAAGGATGTTTGTATCAAGTGAAATGTACAATTGAAATTGTAAAGCAAAAGATAGATAATGTAAGTTTAGGGGTGTTCATTCATAGGGTAATGTTGTGAGATCTGGGGCACTGTGCTATTATAGGTAACTTCTGATTTCAGATAATATGATGGATTGTGGAATTTTAGTAAAGCAATAATGAAACACTCATTTTCTTATTCTATTTTGACACATTTTCTATATCAAACTCATTTTTCAGATATGGCTGGTCTAGAGCTCGATACGTATATTCACTTATCAGTGGTGTTGGGATTTTCTTCCTTGGAGCTGGTGTTACAATGTACCATGGTATTACAGGACTGATAAACCCTGCTCCACTGGAAAATCTTGCAATGGTGAGTTGTTACAGTATGACACTAGAGGAGATGGTCGTTTGGACAACAAATGTAATGTGGACATATGGCTTGTTATAACAGTTATTATTCCAGACTGCTTTAAATTAATACTAACCTGTCCTTTTTTAAAACAATAATGTTAAATATCAACAGACAAAGAAGTGAAACGTAGGCCAAGTAAGCCTTGCATGAAAAGATTTGGCTCCTTTTTCAGTGCACTCTGTAGATGGTCTTTGAAAGGTAGCAAAGTTTTCATTTAAGGGTTCAATCTCATCAATCAAATCTATTGCAGCCGTGTTCTTTCTAACTTTCGGCATTTTTGTGTACCATAGGCCTATACTATTCTGGCTGGATCGTTCTTAGTGGAAGGAGGTTTGTTATGTGAAATTTTTTTGTACCCTTCATTCGAGCAAAATAATGGTTGAAGAATTTAAACAGATTTGGAGTGGGGTCAGATCTAGCATTGTTTTTTATACATGTATATTTTCAGTTGGCTACAGTAATCACAAGATGTTTTAGACATTTGTTAAGTTTGATTTCAAAAAATAAGTATTTTGTGACATTTTTTCTTGCACTTAGGAACTAAAGTCCTGTTTAGCGTATGAATGTACGATAATTGTTAAGTCAACTAATACACCGATAAATTTTTTCAATCATACAGTTTATTTCACTGATTTACTGTGCCGTTGTTCTGTTTAGCCACACTGTTGCTAGCTATAGCTCAAGTCAGAAAGAGTGCACGGGAAAGTGGCATGTCATTCAGACAATATGGTAAGTACTCAGCTCGCTCTTGCTAGGCCCTTCGAAGTCCCCAAAGCCTTTTTAAGGTATGCGGCTATCAGCAGGATCTAAACGTTTCTGTTAAGGATATATTTTGAGTCATAAGTATCACTCTTATACGTTTGTTTCTTGTTGACCAAGTACGGCATAAGTAACGATCGACTGTTTTGATAATTGATTTGTTGAATATAATGATTTTTAAGTAAGCTGTATGACATGGGATACGTACGGTAACCCGCTAACGAGATCTCTATTTTACATTTAGTTGTACGGGGTCGAGATCCAAGTGCAGTTACAGTTTTATTGGAAGACGGTGCTGCTGTAACCGGAGTTATTCTTGCTACAGGCTGTCTCGGCTTGACATCTTACACTGGCAGCACTGTGTTTGATGCAATTGGTTCAGTTTTAATAGGAGGTATGTCAGATAAAATTCACATCCGATGAACTACATCATCGCTTTGTGTCTTAGTACCACCCTGCTTTTGACAATTTGTTTTCTTTTGATTCATTTTTTCTGTCTCTTCGTTTTGCTACTTACTTACTTACTTACTCTCTTGGTATGCTTCAGGACTTCTTGGCTCATTTGCAGTATTTCTCATTGGCAGAAACGCGGACTTTCTGATCGGAAGGTACCTTTTAAAATTGCTGAACTTCCGATTGGCCATTTTCTTTATGCCATGGAGTGATTGTTCTATATTTTACTCTACGCTTAATATGGCTTATAGCACATGCGTTTATTCCACATGTATGTTTGTCCTTGCACTTTTCAGGTCTATTCCAGTCAACAGATTGCAGCAAATTATTGAAGTTCTAGAAAGCGACATAGTAGTAAGGTAAGTCGCCGTGCCTTGTATGAATCTATATGTTGTGGTTCGATTTTGTCCTTGGTTTAATTTTTATGTTCTTTTGTTTTGAGTATGGTAATTTACGGCAATGAGTTTGAAACAAAAGCAAATAAAACTTAAACCAAGGATAAAATTGAACCACAACATATTTCTCATATTAAGCGACCAGTCCTCCACCTCCCCTCAGCAATCTCCCTTAGGCAACATCAGAGTGACCGACTGACACCTCTAACAAAAACCCCTGCATGTAAGATGGACACCAGTTAAGTCAAACACTTCTATTAGACAGACTCAATAACAGCCTTATTAGTCTGTAGCTCCTTTTCAGTTTTTCTTGGGGATATACTGAATACTTTCAGAAACAGGATCAATGTCTCGACTTTACTGTTTTGTATTTTATAATAGTACAATATATCTCCTTACAGAGCAGATATCGTCTGTTATTTCCATTTTCTATTAGCTTATAGAGCAGATATCGTCTGTTATTTCCATTTTCAATTAGCTCATAGAGCAGATATCGTCATGTTATTTCCATTTTCTGTTAGCTTATAGAGCAGATATCGTCTGTTATTTCCATTTTCTATTAGCTTATGGAGCAGATATCGTCTGTTATTTCCATTTTCAATTAGCTCATATAGCAGATATCGTCATGTTATTTCCATTTTCTATTAGCTTATAGAGCAGATATCGTCTGTTATTTCCATTTTCTATTAGATCCATACATGATGTGAAAGCTACTGAGTTGGGTGAGTATTACAACTATGCATTTTTGCTTTTTTCTGTTGATATACCTTTTAGCTCTTGTCTCTGACATCACGTCGTTACCTCTATTCAGCTGTGATATGATGACGATAATTGTGCCGTCCTACAGGTGCAGACGTAGTTCGATTCAAGGCGGAAGTAAATTTTGATGGACGAGAAATAACTCGCTGTCATCTTAACAGGGTGGATATGGAGTTGTTGCTTGAGGTAAGCTTATCTTTGTCTGTTGAAGGTGTTTAGATCCTAAGGAAAGCAAGAAGTATTAGGTTTTGGTAGGGGATAGGATAGCTTTGTTTTTGAGTTTCCGCCATAAAGTCCCATCTGCTTCTGCTTCACCCTTGAAACTCTTTACCCCTTTGTTTCTCTGACTTCTTTGTACTGTAACTGCCATTACTGATCGCTTTCCTACCTGCATGGGACGAACATTTCGCACTCCCTGCATTAGGTCACAACTGTATCATGCAGAATACCAAAACTAGGCTAAGAGTCTTCTAAGAAAGTAGGACTCTGGGTTTAATGTGGAGTACTATCCAAATTAAAGCGCCATTCTCTAGATGCTTGAAACAGGCTCTGACTAGTAAAACTAAATGTTTTCAACTCACATGAATTCATCTTCGGAGTCCTAATTGTAGGAAGTTCAGAAGTTGACAACAGTACCAGAGCTAGAGTTGTTTCTTTTGGAGCATGGTGAAGAAGTAATCGATATGTTGGGTCAACAAGTGGATAGAATAGAGAAAAATATCAAGGTAATGTAACTAGTCACTATACATGCGCTCGTGTACGGACCGGCGCACGCGCCTCCTGCAAGTGACGTCTCAGTGTGAATTACGTATTCTTACGGTCTTCTCTTTAATTACACTGAAGATGGACTATAAACCCGAATAATCCGAATCTATAACCTGACAATTACGACAATTATTGATATTCTCGTTTACAATGTATCAATCCTGTCAGTTATCCTTAATATATTGCAAATTTCATGCATCAAAACGAAGTTTTTGTCCAGAAGTTTTCAACGTAAAATGCAAATTGATTTGACAAGGGTGGAGAAAAAGGAGGGCCACAATCCCCCCCCTCGGCGGCAAATCATTTAAAACTTTGTCACACCGCCGGAAGGTAGCCGGTCATGGCTTATCGTTAGAAACCATTCCAACTGAATCAAGTGACTGCTAGGGCATGCAAATAGGTTTTCGCTTAGTAGCAGTCAACTGCATCAGTAAAAACCAAATTTTTCATCTTTCCTCCTCAGAAAAGAAACCCAGAAGTACGTCACGTGGACTTGGAGATTCTTTAACACAGTTTTTTGTGGAATGAATGTGGTTTGCTCTGCAGTTCTGTTGGTGCACTTTGTTTTCTAGAATTCCCAAGCAGTTGTGTCTTGTTCCCTTAATCTCTGGACGAAAAAACGAAGTTGTTACTGAACTTGGAATAGTCAGCATGTAGGTCGTTAAGGTCACTCACGCGGCCTTTACTAAATTGATGCCTACTTCGTCGGCGATCATTTTGTCTTCATTTGGTCAATTCAAGACTTGTCGTCCTGCTCCACGCTGGAAGAGTATTGCCGCTTAACACTCAGCTGAAACATCAGTGGTGACGATTTAGTTGACTCTTGGTGGATGCTTCAGTTTTAGTGCTCGGCGCTAGTATCAATCTCTGGTAGGACTTTCTCAGACCTCTCTGGAGATGCAAATTAAACAGATCTTTATGTTTAGATCACTTTTTGGTGCCTCTCACTACTTGCAGCTTGTATCCAAGTTTTATCAGACGTTTTTATGAGAAGCAATGGTTTATCCTGTTTAGATAAGTGGAACAGTACTCGCCCAGCCAATAGTATCGAGTGCTGGGTCCCAAGCCTCTGGCACGGCTTCTATCCTCTTTAAGCTATAACTACTCACTGACAAACCCATCACTAGCGAATGAAATAACCAACGTGAGAACTTTCAATTACATATTTTGTGGCTTAACTCAGTTGGGGAGAATAGAACAGTCTACGATGTCGTCATTGGAAAGACCTTAGAGCCTGATAATGGAACGGCTCAAGGTCAGCTATTATCCCCGAACAAAGAACTACAAAGAACTACATTTAAGTTTAACAAATCCTTAAAATAGTCGATACTCTGACTCAAAAACAGGCTCAGAACTGTCTCTAATCCTGATCAATGTGGGCTAAACCGGCACTGATTCATTACTGACCTTGGACTGACTATGAACTGTTTATTAAGAACTGCTGCCCAGCACCTACTACATTCGGATACCCTTTGCATAAGAAAAAACCTTAAAATACCAATCATCAAAAAACAAAATTAAAAGTAACTACTTCAAAACATAAGTATAACTATGTGTTGTTTGACCTTCCGAATTTACTTTCTCGCTCGGTCTGACGAAAATATCCCCACTGAACACTCATTAGTGACATTGAACTTATAGAATTCTGGTAAATCAATTTTCCTTTGCCATGTATGCAGCATAAAGATCCCACACTCTCAAACAGACAACTATTGATAGTATCAACATATTCTTCGGTGTTTTTGCAATTAAAACGCGCGGGTATTTTAAGTAACTTCGATTGAAAATGCGATTGTATAATATACATTTCTTTTATTTTAAAAATTGGTCTATTTTACGAAGCGAAGGTTAAATGATAACATATATACTTAAGCTATATACACATTGAACATAAAGATGATTTAAGATTGCAAAATTTGTCCCATTAGAAAGGCGCCATTTTTCTTAAGTGAACTCTTGTTTCCCGTTTAAAAGTTGTATTTGCTTGCAGTTTGAAATCACTGCCATTAAGCTGTTAAAATTTTCCGCAGCACAGCGTCTTGGAAGGTTCCCAGAGCTTCCCAGTTCCCGCGTCAATTGTTTCACTGTTTCACTCTCTGTTAAGTACACATGTCAGTAAACACAATGGAAAATGAGTAATAGGTACTAAGTAATAATGCGAACTTCAGTTAATTTCAATTTTTTGGAAACGAGTAGTTGAAAGAAAATTGAATGTTTCTGGACACAAACGAGAAAAAACCGTGAACTTTATTGTAAGGATGCGTGTTTATAGAACATGCTGGCGTGGGCTCGTCTGTTTTGACTCGTCACGCTTCCTTGCGCGCGTGATGAGCCAGAAAAGGCTTCTTATTAATATACTGTATATTGATGTGTATAATTTTAGATGGTACAGTAATTGATGCGACGAGGCGTCATCTGACGTTTGGCTGCTGCTCAGGTGCAAATACAAGGGTCCTCCTGCTAGGGGTGTTATGTATTAAGGCGGGTCTATACCTGCACGCCGTCACAAGAGCCTCGCTGATTGAAACCAGAGAACATTTCTATAAGAAACCTAAGAACCTACTGTTGAATAGTACAATAGGCGACGGGAACAACAAGCACAGCCAGCTCTGTAAGAATGGAAGCTCGGGAAACGTGGGTTGGAAAACTTGATTTCATTCTTGCCTTGATAGGTTTTTCAGTTGGTCTTGGTAATATATGGCGTTTCCCATATTTGTGCTACAAGAACGGTGGCGGTAAGTAAGCACCCTGTGTTCCATGTATTCAGCATGACTGTGTGATAACAACTGCCTGTAAACAAGTGGTGATTTCAAAGTGATTTCGTTTTGGTTATGGCGCAGTAGTTTACTCTACAGTTTGCTCTAATGACAGCCAAGTTGCATGTATGTTACTGATGGTTCCATTCGTGGATTCCATTGAACACGATGAACGCCGGCAACAAATTGCATTTAAAAATCGACGATTTTTGCCATTTACAGCAAGGTAAATAAGTACGAGTAAGTTTTTAAAATGTTTTTTGTCAAGTAAGGTAGGGTATGGTTCTTCCCACAGTGTTTCGACAACTGTCCCGTAAACGAGCGTCGTGATGACACAATTGCTCCAGATCAGAATGTCGGACCGGCAAAATAAGAATCGATAAGACAAAAGAAGTGCCCAAGCTCAAGGAAGCATTTGGAATGTCTTTCGAATAGGCTTGAATTCTGATGAACCGTAACTTAGATTGTGCAGCTGTTCATGTGGTTAAGGAGGTTAAGTGTTAAGTGTTAACCTTTATAGCAAAACTATTATGCTCACAATTCGAGTTTTTAGCGTTGAAGTGGCTCAGGTATCACAGAACCTAAATTAATTATCGAGCGTAATAAAAGGTAGTTAACCTCCGCAACCGGACCCGGCCGTAGAAAATAAGGTCAATGATTTTCTTGCCATGTCATTGTTGGTTTTTATTACTCCGATATCGAAAAAAGAAACGGTTGACAAATTTGTCAATAAAATACTAAGGCAGGTGAAAAAAAAACCAAATGATGAATTTTAGCATTTTTGATAGTCTTAACTAAAAGGGTCACTTGATGACAAGTGAAACAGCAGCAGCAGCAGCACGATAGGTGATGGCCAGGTCAAGAGGATTTTATTACTGCTACAGTGACAAAAAACACAAGACAGGACTCTCTCAGACTTTAAGAGGTGTCAAGGGCGAGGACTGTTTATAAGTTCAGTTCTGTGTACTGATCTGAAGAGCCAACTAAAATCCGAAACGAAACCTAATTTATGAAAGCTAATTATTGATAATAATAATAATAATAATGATAATAATAATATTGTAAACTTCTGACTGCAGGATGCTTTCTCATTCCATATGTGATCTGTTTGGTGGTTGCTGGAGCCCCTATTTTAATATTGGAAGTTTCCTTGGGTCAGTTCACAAGTCAAGGTGGCATTACAGCCTGGAAAATCTGTCCATTGTTCAAAGGTACGTTTTTTCTTCGATATCCGATGGATTACAAGGTTCCTACTCGGGCCTTTGTGCTTGATTAATTAAGGTTACTTTGTAGCTGTCAGGAACAGTGAGAGAAAGAGCTTTACTCAATAGATTCATTTCTTTCCTGTGCCTCTTCACAGCAACGTTAACATTCAAAAAGGTGGATACACTTCTTTTTCATTATCAAAAGTGGGAGAAGCTAACTAGAGCACTTTGTAGTACTTGATACACGCAGGTTCCTTAAAATTAGCAGGCATCTTTATTGTTATCGTCGTTGTTGTAATATATACATACATTTTTCGTTGTTATTGTTATCCTTTTTCTTTTTTTTTTTAAAGTAGAATTGTATATTTTGATTCATTTAATTAATGTTTATTCTTAAGTAACATTATAAAACTCGTCTTTAACTCAATTAAAAAAATTTAGCAAAAAAAAAAGGTGGAAAAACGCGATCCACCGGATAATTCTATGCCTATTGAGGCCTCAAATGTAATAAATGTCCCTAAATGTAATAAAGGTCCTAAGTGTAAGAACTTTTGGCTCAAAATGTCATAAAGGTCCCAAATGTATGAAGGCTTGGTTAGCATGGTAACTAGGCTTGTATGGTTAAAATACACTTCAAATGGAGATTTGTACTTTGGTACTTCTTTCTGGTTCCTCGTTTAAAATCCTCTGGTTTTCGGCCGGTCCTTTCGCCTAATAAGAACCTTTCTTCCCGCCAGTTTTAAAGAATCATACTCCATCTTGCACCTTACAGGGGCACCCAACGCCAATTTTTGGAAAATATCTGTTCGGAAGACGATTTGAGATCTAGAATTTTCGGAACATTTGTTGTTAAATTTCTTGCTTGCCCGCGTCTCCTACGATTTTCGAACCCCCCCCCCCCCCCCCCCCCCTCACCCCCCCCCCCCCCCCCCCCCCCCAAAAAAATGATATAATTGCCCATTTTAACGGATTTTTACCCTAAAAAGGTCACCTAGAATTTTCGGGAGCCTTTTTTCTGGCTGAAATTTTCGAAAAGGTAAGTTTTGATTTCTATAATTTTCGTATCACTAGACTTTCAGGGGATAAAAATATGCCTATATCTACCGTTTAAATACTAAAATACATTTAGCAATGCTATGAACTATATTTTGAACTATATTCTCGTTGGGTGCCCCTGACCTTACAGCACGAAAATGAGCGCAATGACTTCTATTTTCCTGGAGACTGCATGGTATGGGCCGCTGTATACCAATTTTACTCGCAATTTACGAAAACGTTCTTGCAGAGCTCCTTTAAATTCAGAACCTTTGTCACTTTGCAGTACAAGATCAGAGGAGGTCCATTTTCTATGTGTAATCCTTTAACTCAGCCGCAACTTTTTTGCTGTTTTTACTTAAAACACTTCAAACACAAATGAACCTACTGAAAACATTCGTAACGGACACTAGATATTGATAACCGAACAATCCTTGATCTGAAATTTAATCCTTCCCCACTTTCCAAGATCCAACAGATCTACTTGGTGTCCGACTTGAACAAAGTTGAGTGTTTCACGCTATTTATTTGGTGTTTGGTTTTCCTTCTCTTCCTAATATCAGGCTGAGATTTAACAAGGCCAGGCACTGTTGGGTTTGTTTAGAAGTCTGATCTGGTTTCAGGGAAATTTTACAAAGACTATTATGATCATTTAAGAATTTGTTGTTTGCTGCTTTTCTTTTAATCCACCATATTCACTTTGCCCAATTAAGTAATACTACATATTGTTTACCTTAAACATTTTATACCTAAGCCTTGTTCTCGGTTTCCCTTGGGAAACCTGTAATACCCATGAAAAACTGGAAACACTGGTTATGCAAAATATTGGAAAAAACGGTGCATTATGGGCAATGTGAAATTCTTAAATGTCTATAAAGACTTCAGTATGGCATAGTAGGTAAATCGCCTGGCTATGACATTAAAGTCACTGCGACTTTATCAAGTTTACGGCCAATAGTTATTCTACTACTGTTAGGATTTTTATTACATTTAGGGCTAAGACGTATTACATTTAGGACCTTTATTACATTTAGGGTTACTTATTACATGAGGCCTCAACCTTTACATGGCTACCTGCGTTCCATCAAATCTCAACAAAATTGTTTGCATGTAGACAAGTCAGTGTTTTACGTGGTAGCGCTCGCTGCTATTGAGCTTCAGCAAACACGATGACGAGGACAGAAAGAAGACCATAAAAACGCAATAGGTGTTATAAGAGCAAAACAAAAACTCTGAATGTGTACCATACTTTTTGATAGATTTCTTTGCTGTCATCGCACGAATTGCCCTTTTAGCCTTTATCACGCGCATGCCACTGTTATATCCAATAATTGTGTACCATTTATTTGGCAGGAATTGGATATGCAAGTGTTGTAATAGTCCAATTTCTCAACATTTACTACATTGTTATCCTTGGCTGGGCTTTGTTCTACATGTTTGCTTCGTTTACTTCCAAGCTTCCCTGGTCTCATTGCGACAATCCGTGGAACACACCACAATGCGTTGATTTAACTGGAAAAGGAAACTGGAATAATTCTGGAGTAGGAATAAATGACACAGTGTCATCCAGTCAAGAATATTTGGAGTATGATGAAATATTCAGTGTAAAAGTAGCTAGGATGAACAAGATCAAATGAAATTAAAACATTAAAACACTCTTTTTTTTTTCTTTCATTGTGTTCATCAACAAATGTGTCGAACATTCCAATCAGTTCGGCTTTCGAAGCAAAACTGAGTAAAATATGATATTTTATATTTATCATTTCCTTAAAGCCATTTCTGTAACATTTGCTAACCTCAAACATTCAACAAAATTTCTCTTATATTTATGATGGAACACTGCGCCAATTTGTCCCACTAAATGAAGAAAATGCGTCAAACTCGTTCATTGGCTACAGCTTGTACTAAAATTGCTTAATATTCAGTTTATTTTTAATTGCCAGAGATTTGCAAAATTTCAGACTTATAGCATATGATCAAATTTTTCCAAATTTTTCGTCAAGATTTCTTGGAAAATTTGCCTTTGGTTTACTAACGTGTAATTGATTTCTTCCACTAAATGAAGAAAATGCGTCAAACTCGTTCATTGGCTTCAGCTTGTACTAAAATTGCTTAATATTCAGTTTATTTTTAATTGCCAGAGATTTGCAAAATTTCAGACTTAAAGCATATGATCAAATTTTTCCAAATTTTTCGTCAAGATTTCTTGGAAAATTTGCCTTTGGTTTACTAACGTGTAATTGATTTCTTCCAGGCGACGAGTTTTACGCATCTCAGATGGGTTAGCAGAGGCCGGCACCGTTAACTGGGATCTTGCATTATGTCTGCTGTTAGGCTGGATCATCTGTTATCTGTGTGTTTGGAAAGGTGTCAAATCAACAGGAAGAGTAAGTGGCTCAGTTAGCTGGTAACCGGCTGATCCATGCCATGCCATGCCCATGTCCGTGTCTTCTGTCCAAATTGGGTATTTGTTATCAGTACTTATTTTCAACAGTTTATAGTCGGCAGGGCGAAAGGCGTTTAGTTTAAACTGACAAATAAATAATAAGGTCAATACTGAACGATGGCTGAGATAGGAAGAAAGGCTATATAGAGAGTAAACAAAAAATACATAGGATTGTTGTGACGTTAAACGCTGATCTCCAGTGAAAAAAGAGATGTTCATGACTTGTCCTTTGTTTTTTTTTTCTCTCCCGCAGGTGGTTTATTTCACAGCTACATTTCCTTACGTACTGCTGACAATTATATTTTTTCGTGCAGTCACCCTTCCAGGAGCGGGCGAGGGTATCAAGTTTTATCTCAACCCAAATTTCACTCGTTTAGCTGATAGCCAGGTGATTGTCTTGTTGTCTCTTTTTTAGATCGTTAACAACATTAAAAGGTATTTTTATTTCTTCAGAATTTCCCATCATATAAATCGACCAATCGTTGTGCTGCTGAGCCGGTAGCGTTCGACTGACGTTATTTTGGAAGAATAGTAATTGGTTTGTACAATTGTCTTAGTCATATTACAAATTAATTATTATTAATGGGTTAATGGCAGGTTTGGTTGGATGCTGGAACACAGGTATTCTTTTCGTACTCTATTGGCCTTGGTACTCTCGTCGCACTTGGCAGCTACAACAAGTTTAAAACAAACTGTTACAGGTGAATTTCCAGCTCATTTCTTACAACTGCATCTTGAATGTTTTTGCCAGCAGCCTTAAGTAAAAGACAAACGGAAGAAAAAAGAAAGAATTATACCATCCAGCACTTTACGCTGGTTTAGTTAATTGATCAGTATACAAAGTACTCTACAGTTGTCGATTCTGTTCTAAATACTTCATTGTAGAGACTGCATCATATTTGCCTGTGTGAATAGTGGTACTAGTCTTTATGGAGGATTTGTGATATTCTCGGTGCTTGGCTTTATGGCGCAGAAGCAGCAAGTACCAGTATCTGAGGTGGTTAAATCAGGTAAGCTAAACCTCATGTTCCTCACTTTAACATTACATACTACATAGCCACCAATAGGTTCATATTTCTATGGCAAGATCAGTATTAACAAGAATTTTTCGGTTTTTTGTGTGTCTGTAGCCCTCCAGTTTTTTGCTTACTGAACGCCAGTTCACGTCTTTGTTATAAAGTAAACACCTGGCCCCGGTTGTTCAAACGTCGGATAGCGCTATCCACCGGATAAATCACTATCCAGCGGATAGCGTAATTGATTTCCGTAATACTTATCCGCTGGATAGTGATTTATCCGGTGGATAGCGCTATCCAACGTTTGAACAACCGGGGCCTGCAGTTCTGCCAGGACTGTTCACCGTCGAGTCTCGGCAGTCAGTAGTGACTCAGAAGTGATGAAAATAAGAAAATTTATTGATCGAAGTTAAGACTAAAAGAGTCGATTTCCTTCGGTTACTTTAGAAAACAAGAAATGTTGGAGGGCTGCACGACGTTTCTTGTCATGTTGTTTTATCTCCTCAGGCCCTGGTTTAGCGTTTATCGCATACCCTGCAGCAGTAGCTGAAATGCCAGTTGCTCCTTTGTGGTCCATATTGTTCTTCTTCATGGTTATCTTATTGGGATTGGACAGTGAGGTATGACATGTATAATTCATCCCTTTATTACACCGGCCCCATTGCCGTAACCTGAGTACACTTCCTATTACTAATATGGGGAAGAAAAGCTACGATCTCAGTCATACACGTAAATCTAACCTGGCCTGAAATTCTTCATAAGTTTGTTACCTTTTTTGTTCTACTTCACAGTTCGTTGGAGTGGAAGGCTTTGTGACAGCCATTGTTGATCTGTTTCCTAATCACTTAAGGCGTGGCCATCGCAAGGAAATCTTCATTGCTCTTTGCTCTGCTTTCTGGTTCTTGATCGGTTTATCCATGGTTACTGAGGTAATCACTCAGCTGATATTGAACATTAGGTGTTGAATAGACTAGTAACTAAACTGAGTTCGGCATCCAATCGGCATTCACTCGGCAATTCAATTATTCAATTGGTTTTAGGGTGGAATGTACGTGTTCCAGTTGTTTGATTTTTACTCGGCGAGCGGCAGTGCTCTTCTGTGGGTGGCGCTCTTTGAAAGTGTAGCTGTTGGCTGGGTCTATGGTAAGTATAGTACTTTTTTTTTCAATAATCATTACAACATTACACATAAGTTATCTCGAACAGTTCTGATTTGCGTGTATGGATAATTGCAGGCGGAGACCGATTCTATGACAATATGGCTTCCATGATTGGATTTCGTATCAATCCGTGGATCAAGTGGTGCTGGAAATATCTCACCCCAACTTTTTGCTTGGTCGGTAACATAAGATGTTATCTTACGTATTTTATTTTAACTCCAAAACTGAGTAGTTTGAAGAAGCCCAATTTTATCATTCCATTACGGTGAAAGAGAATGTGTGGTTATTTCTACTATCATTTCAAACAAATTGTATACAACTTTATAAGGTTAAAGGACATGGCAATATAAGAGCACTTATGCAAAGAAAAAGAAACTACATAGTTCTTGATCTTAAGTAAAATTGCCTTTCCACTTTCCTTTTTCAGTAAAATTGCTAACTGCTTCAATTTTTTTCGCGGGTTATAATTTACAGGGGATATTTATATTCAGCCTGGCGTCTTACAAACCACTGGAGTATAATGACTATTCATACCCAGTTTGGGGACAGGTGATTGGTTGGTGGATGGCTCTGTCCTCTATTCTGTGTATACCTGGGTACATGGCTGTGAAGTTTGTAACAACAAAAGGAACATTTGAAGAGGTACTCTTTTTTGTTTTATTGGCGGACGTCATCTGTTTTGTATATTACCTTTTCTGCAAGAATTTTCCGATTTGCCCGCACCATGTAGTGCACTTGGTAGCAGTTCTTGAAGTATGGCTGACTATGTGGTGGGTACTGTACAATAGACAGGGGATGGACAGTTCGATATCATGCATGTGCCAAGCGAACTCTTTGCTTAGTAATACCAATAATAGCATTCAGCGGTACAAGCTTGTTTTGCAATTAAATAACTAGAACAAGAAAAGTGCCGGGTGAGGTTTTTAATGATTTTTTACAGCCTTGAGAAGATTATCGCGGAACAAAGAGCCTGATGTGTAGAACCTTGTCGAGGGCACTTTCTCAGTTTGACCAGTGACGTCACTATCCCTACTGGTTAAAGGTTACCATTTGAATTCTGTTATTCGTCTGAAACCTTCCTTGCCGTTCTGAGTAGTTACTGGGACTAAACTAATGGGCGAAACGAAGCGAAGCAGGTCGTGTCTGAAATGTCGTTTTTTTTCCTCCATAGCGTTGGAAAATTCTGACCACACCAACAAATATAGAGAATGACAAAGAGACTGAAGCTGGCGATGAAAATAATAAACTTGAACGTGAGAAGAAAGAACAGGACTCGATGTTGTAACTAGTTGTATTCTACAATATTAAAGTGTTTCCATGGATCCACTAAAAGAAATTGAGGGACTGCATGAGTTGAGAAGTGTTTTTCATGTTATCACTAATGACATAGCTCAGCCATATTTGATATCAGTTGATTTTCTGACAAACGGCTAGCGTTCGAGAGGTCGGCTTTTAAATCTCTTATTTTTTATCAAGTGGCCAGTTACTTAATCAACTCAGTTAATAAAGCCAAATTTTTATCTTTAACAATAATTGAGTGATAATCAGCTTTATATCATACAACACAACTTCATGTGAGTTAATATATATCCGATAGTGTGTGATAAGAATTATGTGGTGTACGTCCCACAAGTCTGTAAGTTTTTAGATATCCTTTGCAGGCATTAAACCGCGATCTTGAACTGATTGTGATGTTACAACTGTTACTACTGTGTCGTCCCTGCCATTCTTCTTTTACTGTTTCCATTCTTTTCTCTTCTCTTTTCCTTCTGTTTTCCTCTTGAGGCGAATGTGATAATAGAACAAGACTGGATAAAACTATACTCTAAAAACTAGTAATAATTGCAAATAAGGGGGGTGCGTTCGATGGGAAGGGGTGGTGGGGTGGTGGGTAGTGAGTGGTAGTGGGAGGGGGGTGCAAAACCTGATGGGCTTGTACTATTGAGAAATCAAAATCAAACACTTTTACCATTATGAATACCAGTAGCTGTCTTTATCAGTGTTATTGTTTATCTTCCCACTTTACAATTCGTTACTATTTCATTTTTCCTCAAACATGCAAGAGCGTACTGTACTTTTTACATTTACTTGGCTTAACCTCTAAGTAAAGTACATGTAAGTAACAACAGGTCAAACACTTACTATGATCCTCAGGATATTCCTTTGCACTTTCAAATTGGCTAAAAAATTGGGTTACAGAAAAATTAAAGTTGTCTGAAAAGTTTAAGCGTCGAGTATCACTTTAAACCCTTGTTGCTCGACACTAGGCTAACACGACTCACATCATTCAACGCACCCGGAATTAGTGAGATGAAAAGGTCAACGTTTCACTGTTCAACTTCTTGTATATTTTTCAAAAATGGTGACAAACAAAAGCAAATACAACGCTGTAAGTAGCTTTTCGAAGCGAAAAGATGTAATTTGTAATAGAATTAAATATGGTCGATCTAAGCTGATCTTGCTTGAAACCATAAAAACAAATACAGTGTGCAGAACGCATTGTTAACATAATATCTACATATCCTATTATCTTAGAATGGAAATTTTTCCCCAAAAATACTTAATTGAAAACTGCGAGAAAAACTATAAACAAACCTGTAGTAAACAGAAAATTGCCAACGTTTCATTTTTGAACGAGTGTCATAAAATAGATACCAGCTCCCGGGTGAGAAAAACTAAACACATGAGATCGAGGCAAAATGTGCCAGGCCGGTCCAAGATGGCGTCCAAACCGTGAACAGAATGGTTACATACAGAACGGTTCCTACTTCATGTACGGTACACAAATAGTAAGCGTTCTCCTTCGTCGAACGCAATTAGTCTGACTGCTTTAGGCCAGCAATGAGTCAGCAATTAGCTGTTTACTTGAAAATATGTAACAGAGATGTTCAATAGACATGGACACGAACTTTAGTGGCGTTGGATTTTAGAAATACCTAGTAAACTGAAAATGTTTCAAAATGATAAATAAAAACAAAACAAAACGTGAGGCATAGTGATAACTAGTTGGCGATGTTGAGAGAGCACAGGTGACCAACTTAAGAATAATGAGCCAAAATACTAATGCATTTATATGAAGATATGATCAACCAAAAAATTATTTTAAGAGTGTTCTAAGATCTGCTTTCATGCCTTCTTCAGCTTGATGTTCTCGCTGGGGCAGTCCTCCCCCAAAAAATCCACCTCATCATATAATAAATTGAGTCAGACCATATACCGGTATGTGAAGTGTTTCAGTTGCACTGTTCCCCTTAGTTTTAACATTTAATCAACAGTGCTTACCATTCAGTTATAACAATAAAAAGCTCTTAAAGTTTTTTCGCAAAGGAGATAGTGTTATTCTTTTATTATTCTAGTGTGGGTCAAATTTTCTTTACTTGAGATAAATGAGAGACAGTTAACAGTCCTATACAGCCTTGAAAGTACTTGTGAATACAAAAAGATACACAGAGGTTGACAGTATTTGATTCTATAAAAGCTGGATGTATGAAAAAAAAGACACACATATTTTCTTTATTGGATTTACTTGACAGGTACCTCGAAAAACCACAAGTGAGGGTTAGGGTGTTTCCATGAAAATAACCTTATGAGTTGTTCTTAAGTCTTTAACCTGAATCATCAAACAGATATTAGCTTTGTTGGCTTTGAATAGCCTTCATCGAACTTAATGAACAAATGTGATAACTGTACTACACTAAGCTGTACTTTAACTACAGTTTATAATCTTAGTATACTGTTCACAAAACAGTTTGCTTCACAACATTGGTTTTAGCAGTGAAAGCCCTGCCACTGAGTACATATTTGAGCATATTTCCAGTGGCTGTTATTATTATTATTGGTTTTATATCTATCTTGAGTTGCTGCACTTGGTTTTTCAAATGATCTCAAAATGCTGCACTCAACTGTATTAACTGCTACAAGCCATAGAGATGGGGGGTAGGGGCAATGACACAGATACATGGAAGTGCAAAGAACTTTTCTGAGTCTCAGATCCTTGATCTAAAGCTTCATTATGGTTTAGAAGACTGCCTTCTCCCTGAGGGTGAAAGATTTTGTTAAAGGTTAATTGGAGATGGGTGTCACTGTAGGCCCCTGTTTTCTTTTTTACACTGTGTTCTTCAATTTAGTTTTTGCTTTAAAATCTGTCCTCACCGGTACTCCCCTGGTAGTACTATACCAGACTACTCCCTGAGTGCCGGGCTTGGTAATGTTTGGGAGGCAATCTCCATGAAAGTCCCACCCACTCTGGTGGTGAAAGGATAATGATGATGATGATGACGACAATGGTGATTACACACAGACAGGTTTGTTGTTATATTAAAACTCAGTCCTCATAGTTTTTTTCACTAACCACGGGTCACAATTGGGTGTTAAACAGCATTAGATCCTCTGTAAGGCTTAAAGATGCAAGAAATTTGCCGTGGACTATCCTCTGTAGGTCTTCCACTAAGAACTCCAGCCTCCTCTAGTTCCTGTTCAACCTTCCTTATGATATTCCACTTGTCCTCTTCATTTTTTCCCTTGGTTTTCACACTGACTTTCACTTGATGTCCTTTTTCCAACCACCTTTGAATTTGATTTAATCTGAAACTCAAGTCTCTTGATTCTATTCTATCACTCACTTCGATGTTCTTTATTTTAGGCGTTTTTAATGCTTTGGCTTTAATGTCAATCTTGCGTATCATCTTGTAGACAGGCAATGCTGCTTTGTTCTGTTTGTTGATCCACATCAGATCAAGTGATTTCTCTCGTGCAATGTTGGCTGCATTTTTAAAGGATGTTTCGCCTAGGTTTTTTCCTGTTTCGTCTACTAGCAACACACTCTGTTTTAGTCGGTTTGAGCTGTCCTCATTTCTCAAAATTATTGTCCACGTTATCGTTCTTGATGATTGTACGTGAAAACACGGCGGAGTAAGTCCGTGCACCTTCCTCAGAGAAGAAGGCCTGCTATGAAAAGCAAAGAAAACTACATAATTCGAGGCTCTGTAACTTTGTTCCAGCAAGCGAAAACATCTCCAAATAGGAGCCATCGGAGCCATGTTGGTATAATGTTGGTAATGGCAGTATGGCACTCATCCCCAGGATGTTCTCGGCTTTGCATAGCCCTCGTTCCCAGGACGTCTCCTTGCCATTTTTATACAGTCCTTTGTGGTAATAAATTGACATTTAAACTGTGAAGGGCTGCAAACGAATGTGCCGCAAAACATAGGATCTATAAAAGACCTGACCAGCACCGCCAGCGCAAGGGGGTAGGGGTAGGGTTATTTTTCTTTCTCGTGCTCCGCGCTCGCTTCGCTCGCGTGCTCGCCGATGTTTTGTAAAAGAACGAAAAGAAAAATAAAACAACGCCTGTGTACAGGCTAAAAACAGAGTGGGGTCAAAACCAACAAAAATAAAAAGACCACTCACACAGCCACCGGCGGTTATTATTACACATTGCCCTGTTATCGTGGCTGTCTGTATACAACGCTGTGTTTTCAAGATATGTAGAAAAAAGAAGAACGCAAAAAAAAAAACCAAAACAAAACAAAACAAAAAGGAAGGAAATGGAAAATTACTAAATGTCTTGTGTGTTTAATTGGCCCGTTTTCGAAGAGAAGCACAGGGGGTCCATAAGACGTATCTTTAGTAAACGAAGATGTAGGTGGAAACCTCCGGCCAAATTCTTGGGCGAGTTCTGTTGATTATTGAAAAGGGTGGCAAGATTAAAAAAGACTATTAACAGTTCTTTATTTTTCTTTCACAAGTGAAAGGTTTTTATTTCTACTTTACGTATCAAGTTTTCTTACTCATCACGAACGCTTCAAGAGACATATTACTCTCGTTTAAAAGTTCCCAGTGCGAGTAATAACAATAAAGGAAGTTAAAATACTTTTTTAATTCATTCAAACTGTGCTGAGTCTGTGAGCAAACTCACTTTGAAGCACTTGCTTAAAGACTAACAAAATGGCTTAGGGTACCAGACTTTCCATTCTAAATGACAGTCGGAGATTGCCTGAGATATACTGTAACGTGAAACAGATGAAATGTAATTCTCGTGGTTTTACACACGAGGAAAATCCTCCACTAGTAGCTTTGGTATTTCATCAGCTTTTCCAAGTCGTGGTCGTGGGCGTGTGAAATTTGCTTCAACCAATCAGAAGCGCTACCCAGATCTGGGTAGTTACGCGTCATCAGTATAGAATTTCTGTGCTCGTTTCTCAGACGTCATTTGGCGGGGAAACCGCTGGTGGCGTCACGAAATGTCGGCTGTTTTCTCAGGCTAATCCCACCCCTCCCCCTCCCCCAAACAGGAAAGATCATCCCCTTCAAAATTTTTTCTATTCAAATACTACTAAACTGTAACATGTATCTAAACTCAAAAATTCTATGTCGTTTTGCAGGATCATTATATTTCTATTGAGATTCGTTTTCAAGTGAAGACTAGAAATACCACTTCTGAATTACTTATAAACCACACGGCGAAAATACATTACAATCTAATCAGGATTTCCTCGTTGTAAGTTTAACACTAAACAATCTAGCAAGAAGGCATTGTTCTTCAATATGAGTTGAGTCAGGTTTGATAGGAACTGTGGATACCTGTCTGAAGGCAGTCACAAGTCCGCGAACGAGTGCTGCTTAAATTGGCTCGACATCATACGTTGCCAGAAATACAGAGTGATAAGTTATAAATTAAAAGTGGCCCGGAATTTAGCGTGCTCAAACTGTGGTAATTGATGTGCAGAACATTGAACAATCCTAAATACAATGGAACATGGGAAGCTCAGCCCTTGACAAAAGCATAGAGTTGAGATCCATTTAATTTGGAAACTTCTTGGTTGGTAAGAACTGCAATAAAGATAACAAGAAACATCTTATTAGCATGATAACTACAATAATATTATTAACTCTATTATATATGTATATTTTAAAATACATGTCTTATACGGATAGGAGCTGGTATACAAGCATACTAGGAGCATTTGCCAATACTGGGAAATCTTGAGCCTAATTATTCCTGTTAGTTATGGCCAAAAAGAAAGCTCACAGCGATGTTGCACCATTTCAGAACATGGTTGTATCGCAGTTTAAGTTGAAGACAGTTGAGGTTTTCAGGCAAACACATTCGCGCCTTTCAGGCCTTCCCATCAGAATATACATACATAACATACTCATAGCCACTGTAACTCAGTCGAATAACTTCCCTGCGGGTGATCATTTGTTCCCTTCCTCGATACATAAGGAATGTTAAACTGCTTTTGTCAAAAGGGTCCCGTTAATGTTTTTAACTTTTGCCTATAAACAGCCGCGGCAAATCTTACCGGAGTCACAAGAAGCTGACAGAGATAGTTTTACAGCATTCTCAGGTTGACTGAACATTATGGCCACCTGTTTCAAATAAGGACACACGCTAACTCAATGAATGATGCAACAAAAGACTAAAATCAATGACAAAAACAACTGGGAATTTGTGCATCAACTAAACGGGTTGTAAAGACAAACTGGGCATACACAAAACTTCACAGTACTTCATAAAAAGTAAGAGATGACTGACGTATGTGACATTAAACACAATAGAACTGAGAACGTGATGTTGAAACTGTTACCTGTCGCTGAAGTTGATTGAGATTCATAGCTGTGGTCCCGCGGGGATTCTCTAGTAGAACAGTCCCCTGAAGAGGCTTGCCGGTCACTCCGCATAGCTGTACGTTGACAAAACCACACACTGGCGATCCTGAGCTCTCTTGTGTATTCAGTTCTGATCCCTGATGACCCCGCAGCAACTTAAGCACCAACACAGCGCCTTTCACCTATATAAAAAAAGTAAAAGTAAAGACTCTGACCTCCGTACTTCTGGAATTTGCAAGATTTGTTGAGGGAATACACTGTACCTCCGTGTTTTCTTGGATTATCTCCGAAAGAGAAGGTGAGAGGGTACTGGGCACAAGAGGTTGCTTCACACTGTCTTCTATGTATTCTTTGTGTGATGCCATGACGTCATTTAAGGCCTTGACAGCGTCTTGTTCACCTTGCGTGACGTCAAATACAATGGTGATGTCATCACTGGGCTGGAGCTTGGCCTACAAATTTCGTATTTTATCGTTATGGTTCTTAGTTCGGATAATACTACAAATCTATGGTTAAATAACTGCCTACTATACTACTGCGAGAAGTACAGAAAACCTGTGAATGAGGCTGAACGTATTGACAGGATGTAACACAAAAATTTAAAGAAGCATCCGTTATATAAGAACACTTTTGTTTTGTTTCTCTGCTTCATCTTCGAGCTACTATGTTGACGGTTACAAAGATTACTATGGCTACAGATTAAATCGCTTGAGGAAAAAGCCGTGTTTAACCCTTAGACAACTGAAAGAACCCGCGCAGAAATTTCGTTTTACCGGCTGAAGTAAAGAACTGAAAAGACGTTACCTTTTTTCGTAATTTCTGAATACGGTTAACAACTTCACGTGCGACACCCTCAGCAAGCAAAGATTGATCAGGAGTAGTGTCCAATAAAATCAGTACCTGGATCCGCACAAAGCAGACAATACGTAAGTTATATAGCAAACGACAGTTTAAATCAGCGGGTCTTTTAGCAAAGGGAAAAATTCAAAAGAAGAGTTCAAACCTCGCCATCTGAGTGCGCTTCATAAGCAGAAGGAGTTGAGCCACTTTGATCAAGTGAGTACATAATCTGTTGGTAAAAGATACAAGTGAGTGTATACTATTCAGTTCTTAGTCTCAGCGCATTGTATGCAGGTCAGACTGAACTATACCTTTAGGTCTGATCCAGACAACAAGTGACCGGCTACCAACAGCTCTCCTTTATCCTGATAAACCTCTATTTCCTCATCCGACAAACCTGTCAAATTCAGCAATATGTTAGACTACACGGCGACTGAAACGGTTAAAACACGCCAAAAAGAGTTAGGAGGGCTATTAACTGTAGAATACATTAAGTCCTTAATATCCTTCAAGGACACATGAATATTAATAACTTCAAATTTTAGATGTGGTACCTTTAATTGCCTGAGATACTTCCTTGAAAGCACCTTTCAGCCTTCGCCCTAAAGCCTGATTATCTGGCTCAGCCCTGAGTCGCACTCCAAACTTTTGTTTGTCAGAAGATACTGTAATCTTTCTCACATTCACCTCCTGCCAAGGAATTAAGAGGTAAATAAAAGTATAACTTAGAGAGGAGGAGAATTAAAAGCCACACATCTTTAAACAAACTACTGCGTAATACGGTGGCGGCCATACCTGCTTAATGTAGCTTTCCAGAGACAGCACATCTTCAAGACTCTGTTGCTGCTGGTGAATCACCACAAGCTCAGGAAGTGGGTACTAACAAAACAAAACAACAACCCAAGCGTTTAGTTAAAGAAAAAAGTTTACAAGGTTCCAAGTCGAAAAAATTGGTCAGCGGATCCACTGTGACCATAGCTTATCCTACCCACCAGCCTCAAAAGTGGTATGGAGTGTACTGAGCCTGCGATATCATATCATTACCCATGATACAGTACTTTTTGGAAATCAAATGCGAGTGTTGTATCCACTCACTCTTCACCTTCATGAAGAAGAAATCGCTCGCGGTGCATGATTTGAGAGAGTGCGAGTGTGTGACAGTTACACTATACACTATACTTTATTTTCATACACATCAATTTGCCATGGATCTCCGCCCGCAAATAGCAAAAGCTAGATGAGGCGGGCTGAGAGGAAAGGAAAGGTTACCGACGTGATACAACTCACTTTGACTCTGAAGATGACTACCGCACAGGTTGTCGAAACGCCAGTCACTGTCAACAAAAACAGTCCTATTCAGGACTACGTTCACCCGGAGGATCATACTCAACCTACTTATGGTTCAAAGTTTCCTTTTTTAACCGTCGCCTGGTTAGCTCAGTTGGGAGAGCGCGGGTCTAGCCTGCGAAAACATCCGTTTCTCCTCGCTCTTCGCCGCTGGGGACGTTTCGCGCGAAACGTCCTTAGCGGCGAAGAGCGTGGAGAAACGGATGTTTTCGCAGGCTAGCGCGGGTCTGCCGAGCGGGAGGTCGCGGGTTCAAACCCCGGCCGGACCAACACTCAGGGTCTTTAAATAACTGAGAAGAAAGTGCTGCCTTTGTAATGACATCTGCAAATGGTTAGACTATCTAGTTTTCTCGGATAAGGATGAAAAACCGTAGGTCCCCTCTCACAGCACTTTCACTGATTTGTTCTTAAAAGAACCCACATCACTTTTCGAATAGAGTAGGGTTTCTAGACCCCAGCTGTGAGGGCAACCCTTACGGGTTGTGGGATTGGGTAGGGATGACACCTCGCATAGGACCTGAGTCCCGTTTGTTCACATTCCCTCTGGGCAGGCCTGTGTCCAGAAAAGCGGGTAGGTAAATGAACAGAGTTACCGAAATATTCAGGAAAATGCTATCAAATCAGTAAACTGACAATGTAACCTAAAATTTACCTAAAATTGACATTTCTTACCTTGATAGGCAGAGTTTTTCGTTCTCTTACAACTCGGCCAAGCTCGATTACGGTTAGCATGAGAGCCACTCTCCTTTCGATCTCTTTGTCAATGAGTTTTTCTCTTAAAAAGAAAACGCGCTGATAAATAAAGTAAATCAAAACTGTCTGCGTCTAAAGCAAATAACCGTTTCAGTTAATGCGAAATTATACAATTTCAGTGCCTGTGTGTAAATTACCTTGCATGCGGGATCATTAGGTAATGAATGCTTTGTGTTTCTTCTGAGTTCATGCTCTCTGGGATGTAAGGACGCAGTGCCTGGTAATTGTGTTCAGTGATGAATGGAGTAAAAGATGCCTGCAAAAGATCGTCAAACCCATTACCATTACTTCCGTCTCCCCAAGAATGGATTAACAAGGCAGGAATAGTACACAAAAAAATTCAGTTATCAATAATCTGCTACTTGTTTCTTCTGACACCGCATATATTAAAATAATATTTTCTAAAATTCACATTAATCCAGTTACATGAGATGGTGAAAAATGGCAATGGTAATGGAGAAATGGCATACCCTACCATTAGTCTTGTCATAGAAAAGATGACACTAAAAAGTGTCTGAAGAGCCTCGTGACGATCTTTATCTCCACAGTCACCCTGAAAGCACAGCAGCACAGTGCCATTCAGAGAGAATAACAACAGTAATAAACAAACAAGATTCTTATTCAAGTCAGATCACGAGCACGTAAGTTGTCTGTAACCTAGAGTATTGAAAATTGATCACTTGAGTGAAATACCGCGATTGCGAATAATTAGAAAAAGCGCAAGAAAACTCGGGAGTATCTCGCTGTCTTGAACAAGAACAAAACTTACGGAATAAAACGAAGATTCCAACTTCTAGGGAGTTTTATTCAGATTATGTCCGCTTGTAAAATTTTCAGGGAAGTAAAAATCTCGTGAAAAGTAAAACTTGTTTCATACCCTAATCCTCTTCCGGTTCATTCTCACATAGACATTCGTCAGATAGTCAATGAACTTTACCAGTCGAGGAACAACAGTATACAGACGATATGCTAAAACACAAAACACCCAGTCAAACATTAACTTAACTGGATAAAGCACTTGATAGAAATAGTAACCTTTTTGAATTCTTTTACGTAAAGGACAAAGCACATTTCGAAACAACTGCCGCGAGCACCAAACCCAAATACCCGGCCTAATATTAATGCAAACGTATTTTAGTTTCCCAGAGCACTGACTGATTTCCGCACTTACCAGCCATCTCTTGGTGAACAAATAAAACCAAACTCTGTGTAAACGACAAAATCCAGCGATCAAGGGTATTCAGTTCCAGGTTTAACAGAAGGACTTCATCATGAACAAACTTGTGCCCTTCCTGTTGTAAAAGGATCAAAACAGCAGCAAAGTGTTTGGTGCCGGCACAAGAACGAATGCAGTGACGAACTACTTGATCCAACAGATAAGATAGCTTATAACTGGAACAATTGAGTACGTCTGTTCTCGCGAGTTTCCTTCCCAAACTCGTTATCTTTTACATTAGGGAGTTTAAGATCCAACGACGCGACAGCAACAAGAACGTCGCTTAAAAAGTCAATTTGCGCTCTTTTAGTCTGAATCGCGATTATTCCTACCCACTTACTTTGTCAAATGTAGGCGGGCCCAACTGGAGTTGAGTTCCTAGGGACCATATCCAAGTTCAGAAAGAAAAATAAGATCTTGTCGTTGCCTATTTCCGTTCTCCTTAAAACGCGAAATTGGGCATTTTCACGTCGCAGTCTTGCAAAAACGGCAAAGAAATGTACAAAAAAGTGTACTGCATGTGCAAAGTTGTTGTGTTGCTTACTAAACCTATTGGTTTTTTGACGTTCTCGTTGCTGTTCCATCGTTGATTCTTAAAGTCCCTATTTCCCCCGCGCATCATGCTCACTTTGTACAATAAAGTATGTTATGCCGGCAGGGCAACAGTTTCCTGACTGGCGATTGTTGCCTGCAACGTTCTTTCGTGGGATGTGTTGCGTGAAAACACAACAAAAAGCTATCTTCCATCTAATACAGTTGAACTTACAGTTGCCACAATAACGTAATTTATTTGTTTAAAACATTAGTTTCATGTAAATTACACCTAGAATGATATTATTGAAAGACAGTTGTCAGTCACTCTTACCCTCTCCAACTGTTCTATGTTTTGTAGAAGAAACCTGTGAGCATTGTACCAAGGTAAAAAGACATCCTTGATAATATCCTTCACTCCTTTTTCTTGGAACTTAAGTGTATCCCCCCTGACCACTGGCGAGTTGATTAGGTACAACCTTACAAAAATCAAAACAAAAAATGTACCTTATAGGGTCTGTATCATAATATTGCCATGACTAACAAAATTCTACTACCTTAAGCAGGTTGATTTTGAATGGCACTAAAGAGAGCCAGCTACTGTAACAACATCTAATCAAGCTGTCAAGTCAAGCTGTGATGCCTAATTCAGTGATAATAGAATGAAGCAAAAAACAGATTTTTGCCACTAAACACAGATGGGTGTCATGAAATAAATTAATACGGTTGTATTATATTATTTGCCTCTCTAACATTGTTGGTTAAATCCTACCCACCTTAATGCATCAGCCCCATACTTGTTGACAATTTCCATTGGATCAGGATAATTCTTTTTTCTCTTACTCATTTTTGCTCCATCCCTGTCAATCATAACAAATCAATACAAAAGTTATGCTGACACAAAAGAGAAAAAAGCAAACAAACAAACCAAAGAAATGATTATTTACTAAACAGCCTCTGAAAAGGGTAAGGCAATCGGGAAAAAAAAGGTTGACTCACGCAGCAAGAACCAGTCCATTGACAATAAGATTTTTGAACGGTGGCTCATTAAACAAAGCAGTTGAGATAACAAGCAATGTGTAAAACCTGCAAAATTAAACATTGTGAAGTACTCAGTATAGCAACAACATTTACAACTAAACAAGTTATAGAGTACAAGATATTTCAGATTAAATTATCTTACCATCCTCTTGTTTGATCAATTCCTTCAGCAATGAAATCAGCTGGAAATGATTTTTCAAACTCCTTTTTATTTTCAAATGGGTAGTGGGACTGCGCATACGGCATACTGCAAATAAAAAAGTTGGCACCAATCATTCATTCTTGTCCCTTAGTCATATTGATCAGACAATATGACAGAACAAGTGATGTAGAAAAAGAAAGACCCTTTCATTTACAACGTTATTACATCAGAAAAAAGTTCCAAGCACTGAAAATGGACAGAAAGGCAATTACCCTTGCAGTAGTTAAAGCCATAATGAAAAACATTGCACAAAAACACCAAAAACTTATCAGCTTTTGTTTTTTTGTTGTTGTTACTATCATCTTGCAATGCTTTCACCAAAATTGTGACGTCTCCCCTTGCTTCTTATGGTCTGATCATACATGCAGAATTATTTCAAGCAACAGAAAATGCATTGACCACACAGCAGCGTATGGTGATGATCACAGTACAGTCTGATACTACAGTACCTTCCACTTTCAAACCAACAGTCAAACACTTCAGTCACTCTCCTTAAAACTCCTCTGTTTGTTTTTGATGGGATGGTGATGCTGTCAACACTGAAAAGTAAGTCACATAATGTTATATGAAACTTGTTTATTATATAAACACCAATGAAATACCAGGTGAGCTTTCGCGCAAAAACTTGATATTCTCACATGTGAAAATAACATGTTATCTTTGCATGTGAAAATATCACCGTTGGTACAGTTTCATAATAAACTGCACCTTCTGACCAAAAAACTATTTTTAGTTAAAGGGTTTGGTATTTCATTGGTGTTTATATAATAAATAGAACATTACATTGTTGCTTGGAGATACAAAATTTCTCTTCTTATGTTGAAAAAAATATTTCACTCTTTACAACATATATGTTGCAGGTCAGGGTATATATGTTGCAGGTTTAAAGTTTTTTCTCAAATCAAAGTAGACCTGTACAATATACATACACTGAAGGGGGTATAAATGAATATAGGCAAATACACATAGTGTTAAATTAATACAAACTACTTACTCCATGCCATTCTAATAAAAAATGACTAATCACTCATGATACTATATTAGGGTTAGGGATACAGATGCCCTCAAGACTTGAGGGCGTCTGAAATGAGAAATGAGAAGAACACTTAGTGTTCTTCTCATTTCTTTTCTTTTTCATTGTTACTTTTAAATACTGCTACAGGACACAATTTAGTCTGGCTCTGAGACTTGGTGATACCGCTTAATGAATTCTTTTTAAATTTGTAAGCTAATGACAGCCACACTATTCATGTAAATACATCAATTTATTTTGATATCTGATAAAATAGATTAAAAATTGCTACCGAATACTGTCGTGGACCTGTTATGAAAAGTACATTAAATTACAAGATATCAAAGACTAAATAAAATGAATATATAAAATGACTACAAAAAACTGAATTTAAACACCTTTCTCTATGTAGATCAGTGACTCTCACTCCTGATAACTCTGCCAACTCATCAATGGATCCAACGCAAACAACCTGTTGATTCATAAAGGAACAGTCACTGTTGAGCTATTTACATCACAAGAAGTTGCTACACAAAGAAGTTTTACAAATAAATTTGACATATAAATTTTGCCACAACAGATATGCACATTCAACCATGTAAAATGCAGAACTGGTTTAATGCTGAACATACCTCTTCAAAATCATCGCTGACCCAAAGAGGAATTGGTGTACCCCAGTAACGATTGCGTGACACATTCCAGTCATGAGCATTTTCAAGCCAATTGTGAAAGCGCTTTTCCTGCACAAATTCTGGAACCCTGTATGAATGGAGGAACCATAGGAGACAGGGTTTACAATGTAGCAAACAAGTCTGCCTGTAATCTATATATATGCAGGTTTAGCTAATTAAATAAAGAAGACTTTACCGAAATTACTCCACAAAGTTGATTACATGGTATTTACAGAATGAGAATAATAATTTTAAGACAGCAAGAAGAATAGGCACACTAACTTACCAGTACGATTTCTTGTTATTGACCAGCAGTTTGTCCACAAGAGATTCAACATGAATAAACCATCCAGGAACAGCTTTGTATATCAGTGGTGTGTCAGATCTGCATAAAAAAACCAGGCAGTTCTCACCATTTGGCAGCATTTTCACATGGCACAACTATTATTTTTATTATTTAAACATTTTTTGGCAAAATAATTTCTTTTAACAACTCTGTGGCTCACAGTCTAGTTAAAGCCAGCTTGTCAAAGTCACAAGCAAAAGTGGGAGAATTTTAACCAATCACTATACTTGCGAACGAGCATTCTTATAATTTGGTTTAACCTCCTTCTTCCCCTTTTGCTTCTGCTTCTGACTCTGCCAATCTGGTTTTCACTTAATCATATGCAGAGTTAGAAGAAAAACATTCTGATTCTGTCAGGCTTATGACTATGATTAAGACTATGGCTACAACGGGCTTAAAGAAAAATCGGTCACACCTCCAACAGAATGGATAGCTGTGTTTATGAGTGCTTTGGTGTACTAGTCTGCCTTGCTGCTTCAGCCACTTCATGATATTCTTGTCAGCATCCTACCGTCAAGAAATAAGTCACATTACAATCACAATGTGTTATGTATCAGTTATAGAATCCCTATTACTTGGGGCATACTTACAAAACATTCTGTCCAAAAAATAAATTACCAGTGTGTGCACCATGCATACTGGCCAGGCTTACATACCTTGACATGTTGTCCTTTGAACTCAGACACATCATCGGTGAATTTTCCACTTGGATCCACTGGACAAGGTATTTTGCCCCCTTTCTGTAAGATTCCATTGGCCAAACAAACTCTGTAATCGTCCTGGACAACAATAGAATTTCAAAAAATATTTAGCACCACAAGCAGAGTCACAGAACCAAAAACAAACAGCTTAATGCCACATATATAAAAAAAAAACATACAATAAAAAAACATTGATTTTACTATGACTGCAAGTTACACTAACCTCACCAAAGGCTGGAGCAGAATGGACAACACCAGTACCACTTTCATCAGTCACATAACCATCTACTAGCACCTTGAAAGCTCCTTGATCTTTAAACTAAAAAAACAATAATAACAATCAGTCTTGTCTAACCTTCTACCTTACATATTAACAAGGTCAGCGGTCAGTGATGATGATGGCCACGTCTTTTGAAGCTGGCTAGTATAGTTTAGTGTTATTTGTTGCCTTTTTTGTGTGTTTAAATAATTTAGTTTTTCATGTAAGAGTTCCTGTTGGTGTCTTTTATTTGAATATGCCAAAGAGAGGAAAGAAGCAAGACGTGAAAGACGATAGTTTTGAATCATACGTGAAGGACTGCCTGGAAACCATTTGACAGGATGTCAAAACCATGAAGAACAATCAAGTAAAATTGAGAGAAGACTTGAAATCCTTCGAACAATAACTCGAAAGAACTACAGAGTGGCTTAACCTAAAGTTCGATACTCTAAACGGTGAAGTCCACGTGGCCATGACCAGAGTTGACAAATTGGAAGATGAGGTCAGCAGTTTCTTTATGGACTGGAATGTCTTCAGGTAATCCAGAATAACACAAAGTGCATCTGCTCAGAAATTACATATTCCCAACTCGAGAATTAATATTCAAAAGTTTTGCCCCACTGTCACTGGAAAATACTACTCGAATGATTTCCCTTTTTCTATTTGCAATAAAATCATCGAAAATCCTGTTCAAAAAGGCACTTAAAAATATTATCTTGCTCAATATTGAGTTGTGTGCGTGTGTATGTGGGTGCGTGCGTGCATATTTTTGTTTTAATGAATAACAAAGCTATAATAGAATAAAGTCAATCTTGCTACAGGGCCATAATTAGTTTTACTATAATGTGCCCTCCATTCTAATTTTTTTTTCTTGCAAACATTATGTACACGTAGTTTAAACAACCTTGTACTTATTAATATTGTACAACTGATGTATTATCTATAGGATGGAGTAAAAATAAAATACAAAAATACAAAATATATTTACATTCATCCTAAAGGTATTAGATTGGCACAGAATAAAATGGGTCTATAGGATCCTTATAGTAACTTTCAAACTTGAAACAGGTAAGGCTAAACATCATTCACAATTTCTTTCATCAAAATAGCAATAAAAATATACACTGACATCTTGGAAGTAAGTGAAGAGAGGTTTGTAGGTCTTTCCTTTCAGGGATGCTCCTTTAAATCTGTTGAAACAAATAGTTTTTATAAATGACAAAAAATTACGAGTACAGGGTTCATGCTGTTTCGAGCTCTTAAATTCTCTGTCTTCTTATTACATTTTCAAATTTTCCATGACCTTTAGTTTATGTGGCTGCCATTTCTGAAAATTTTTCCAAACTATGCTTGTTTATTACTTGGTTCCACACATGCAAGCTTTTGGGTTCACTTACGCATGCTGTTGAAATTCCCAGTGATTAATCCACCAAGCCTATTTAATGTTCCACAACTTCCTATGACCAACAATTAAACAACCATGACTTTCATGCTTGGAAAAAAATGCTTTTATTTTCATGATTTTTTTAACCAAGCACTATCTACAAAGCACCAAGCCTGGGCCTGATCTTGAAAAATTCATGGTATCTGTGCTAAACATAGCCTGCGTAGCATGGCGGTTTTGGTTGGGCGCGCTAAGTAATAAAGGCGGGCGAGGGCAGAGAAACCGCGAGGAGATTAGGGCGGAAGCAACTTGAAAAACCGCCTGCACGGACGGGGGGCTTTTTTGAGTCGGTCCGCACGCCAGCGTACGGATCGTTACGATTGGTTCGGAATGTTCGCCTGTCAATCAAGTATTTTGGTAATCTCCCATGGGAGAGTTTCGAGGGACTGAACAAATCGTCTCCGTAAAACAAAATCAAAATATCAAAGAAGCGTTGACCGGAGCGTCGTTGATCTTGAATATTTGACGGGAAAACAGGGCAATTGTATTGAAGCCTAAACAGGAAATGGCCATTTACAGTCTTCTTCAAAGGAGAGATGTCATGGAAATTTTTTTCAACAAGATTTGGCAAGAGCATGATCTTTACTGTCTTTGCAATGGCCAAAGAAGAAATATCCTAGTCATCGAAAACCTGTATGATCACAATTTCCCCTCTAAAAAGTACTATCGACGACCAGATACCTCAAATGTTGTCGCTGAGCTGTAAAGCAATGGACCTTATTACAGAAACAGTAAATTTCAGTGCTTCGAGAAAGTTCACCTCAATTTTCTCTATTACTCGGTGTTAGAGAATAACGCACGCCAGCGCAATACATCGAACGGTGTCCGCACGCATACGGTAGAAGAAAGACGCACAGCGTAATTCTCCATACTTTTTTCCTAGGTGTAGCTTAAGCTACAACTCAAATCTGAAGATCGCGCTATACGTAAAATTACAACATCCTGCAAACAACACTTAAAAAGCCGGGCCCAGCGTCAAAACATTCACGGACAAAGCAGTGACAAGGAAACTACAAACCAAGGCTCCTTGGTCTGTAGTTGTCCAGATCCAGGCATTTTAGTCGGAAAAGACCAAAGAAACTAAAATATTTATTTAGCCGTAATAAAAAGCTTTAGGCTTTAAGAGTGCAACCTCGTCCCCAGGGCGCTTTTCTCTGGTTGTTTACCAGTGGTCAAAGAAATTAGTACTTTACAACTGCATCTGAGATCAACAAATTCTAATAAGCGAAAATAACATTAACCACAGGAAATAATTACTCAATACGGATTAAACAAACCAACTCCATGACCTCTAAATAAATGTAAGACTTAGAGCAGCAAAAATAAGATCTACTCAGTTAAGTTTAGAACGCAGTGTAGTCACCTATGCACGAGATAGCCACAAAGAAAAAACCCGTGTTTGTTCAAGCAAACTCCAATTCCGGCCAAGGTCACGTTTTACACTATATCACGAGCTTTTGTGTCATGTTTAGGCTGTCAACACTTTATTTCTGATTGGCTGGGAAAACTGAAACCAAACAAGTTGTCAACAGGATGTCAAAATTAGTTGAAGGGGGCGGCAGTTGAAAAGGCCACGAATCCGGGCAGGCGGTTTTTATTTTTCTCGCGGCTTCGCCGCTCGCTCTCGCGTGCTTCGCGCGCGAATTTCGCGGCTACGCCGCTCCTGCGCCCGGCTCGACGAAACCGCCATGCTACGCAGGCTATGCTAAACACCTTTCAAGTAGTAGATTTTCAACAAGAATTGAATGATTTAATACAGTTTTCCTGTTTTGAGCAGTAAATATCAAAATCCACCTAGTAGCAAGTTGTCATTTTTTTGCTGTAACATAATGCAAGAAATACTACATGATGTTCTGCTGTAATTGTGTCTTATAATGACTGCAAACCTTTCTATTACAGTATACTCCTCAGGTTTTTTGAATAAAGCATCAAGTCTAGCTTCCATCATAATGTAGGTATTTTCTGTACCATTGTCTGCAAGTATCAAGACAAGTTTCATAAAGTTAGCCTCCCCATGTCACTAACCTATGACTTTCCAGTTTATAAACCTGTTTTAAGTTTTGGTATCAAGTATGTACCATGTAGTCAAACTAAAACTTCAGCTCTCAAGGTATTTCAAACACAATTGATTACTTTTCAGTCGCACCGATAACAATGTACAACCATTGATCTAGCCAGTAGGTCCTCATCAACACATGATTCAGTGCTGTTGACATCATTATCAATGATATACGTGAGATGCATGTCATTGGCGTTCACCAGTTTGACAAACAATTTGGAAGGTGATTAATGTGTACATAATAAGAATAAGAGTGTAAATATATAATTTATATATCACCTTTCACTTTGACATAGTCCATATCAGGATTCACAACAAGAGCAAGGTTGCTAGGAAGAGTCCAGGGGGTGGTCGTCCATGCAATCATACTAACATCAGGATTGTCATCCAAGGGAAAGTGTACAATAACTACATTAAAATAAAAAATTAATGATTCTGAAAACAATAGCTAGTGCTCTATAATTGAAAGTAAATAACTTCCTCATGTTAAAGTAATCTCTAAACTTGTTTTGCTACAGCTTTTAACTTGTCAACTTTTTTACATGTACCCATATTAGAAAAAGTCTTTTTCGGTAGAACTTACCACAGGAAAATCTTTGACTCTGATGATTTTATTGACTTATAAGTATATTCATTGTTGTTGTTGTTGTCGTTGTTGTTGTGTCACTGTAACATTGTACTAACCAGAGGGATCCATGGTGTCCTTGTAATTTTGGTTGGCCTCAAAGTTTGATAGTGGAGTATTGCACCTTGTAGAATATGGCATGACCTAACAAGAACATATAAGAATTGAAGCAAAAAAATAATGAAAAGTCAAAGGATCAGTTGTTTGTTGTGGTAAGCACTCACCACTAAAAATACCAAGTATACATGTACACTTAAGAACAATTAATCATTTTTTTAAATTTCTGACCAGAACTAACAATACCTTGAAACCTCTATAAACCAATCCTTTATCATACAGTTGTTTGAATGTCCACCTAAAGAAAGATTTTGTCAATTATTTTGAAAACTACAACATATAGGGCCAGTTATTTAATCAGAGTTTAGGCAGTATCTAACAAAACCATGTTCTAAGCCATTTCCAGTTTGCCCAACACTTTTATCGTAACACTATTTATCAAGAAAAGTTTCATGAAAGCAAAAGGCCAAGCCTGGAAAAGCACTTATTTTCTTAAAGTAACCCACTATGGAAGAGATCTGGAGGTCCAAAGATTTGCTAAACCGCGGCATAAAGTAAGACATCATTTAAATAACCGACCCATAAAATTTTAGATGCATTTATATGAGCCTATTAAAGTTAGAAGAATTTTGCTTTACTTCCTGTGAGCCAATGTACATACCAAACAGATTCCATAAACCAAGGATACAGCGTCTTGTAGTCATTCTCAAAATCAATCCACCGCCCCATCCTCTTGACAATAAACTTAAAGATAACAGAAAATGGTCATACGCAAATATCATAGGTTTTTTGGGGAGATCATGTAACATAGCCATGATTTTACAGGCTAATGAAAGGTAAAAATTAACTTCAGGCTGAGATTTTTTGACCTAGGTTGGTTCTCAAGTTCCTTTGTCTCCTAATTCATGAATAACCAGAGCTAGGAGACAACAGAAATTGAGAATCAACCTTTTAACCTGAATTAATAACTTTGACCTGTAACGGCTATACTAGAAGAAAAAAACCTGGACCAAAAACAACACAAACCAAACAGAAGTGACTGAAATTAAGCTCATCAGTCCCATTTTAAAACCGCTGACACCAGGTAGCAGAAGGTTCTTAAAAGTCCATGTGCAGGTAATGCATGTGTGTCTTGAAAACAAAGACCCCTAAGACCCCCTAAGACCCTCCACCAAATGACTCTGAACTATAATGACGTAAATGGAACCTGATTCACTCAATTTCCTAACCCTAATCAATAAAGTTCAGAGTCATTCGGTGGGAGTCTTAGGGGTGTTAGGGGTCTTTGTTTTTAAGACACCCAGTACTGCACATGGCAAGTAGATGACACTCTTATGAAATATGTCCTTGTGAGACAATTGCAAGCAGGTTTTACCACAAAGAAGTCAACACTGGCCAGTGTATTAAATATTAACTCACAAATATTACCTCCCATTCACTGGAATAACGCATCACAATTTTTCGGCATTCCTGATTGTATTGGGCAATTCCCATTTTTTCAACATCATCTGGACTCTACAACACAATGAATTAACAATATTATTAATACTGTAGCTTTTTTCAAAAAATTAATTTGTTTAAATACGATGTTATTCATGCTCCATTTTCTTCATGACTTGTCTCTTTCACGCTGATATGTAGGTATTGACCCTTGAGATGTAGAAATAGTTGGGCCTTGAGCACCTTTCTTAAAACTTTCACATTTGCTCATTGGTTGATCTAATTCAATTTTGTTTTGTTATTTTCATATGCAAAAGAAATACTCTAACTTATTTGTCAACTTATTCAAACAATAACAAAATAGAACAGTTTACACATTATTCACAACACCCTATTTTTTGTTATGTGAATGGTAATAATGAAATATACCTTAATTCCCAGCTTCTGGTCAATTTCATATTCCTGTGAAAGGATAATAATGTCAGAAAAAGCATTGTTGGTACATGTAATTATGTTGTACACACATATAAAAGAGATACACTGCAAATATGAAGTTTTGCAAGGTTCTCAGAATTTTTTCTATCAAAGATCAATTTTCATGGTAACAGTCCATCAGTATAACAAATGTCTGAGCTAATTGCTGACACTCTTTGCTTACAGATACAGGTTACCCTATTATTCAAAATACTTACCAACATCATAAAAGTCACCTCGTTGCTACAGGTTCCCAGGGGTGAAAACTGTAAAAACCTTAAAGTATTTGTTACTTACTACAACAAAATGTACTGAAGAAAATTGAATACCATACCACAGGGAGACCATGACAATCCCATCCAAAACGCCTTTCTACATGATAACCAGACTGGTGGGCATATCTTGTCACAATGTCCTATGTATAAACACAAAATTTATCAATATCATGTAATAAAGCTTCATCCAGTTTTACAATGGAGTTCATGCCCCAAACAAACACCAGTAGGAGAGTTCTGTTAGTTAATTATTAATTTATTACAAGACAATAATTAACTTTTGCCATTTTCTTTACCTTAATAGTACCAGCAAGAATGTGGCCATAATGAGGCAACCCAGTGGCAAAAGGAGGTCCATCATAAAAGGAGTACCTGGATAAAAGACAAAATATATCAACTCTTTCAAAGTGTTGCATGGCACTTTTATAAAGACTTAAAAGTACAGTGAAACCTCTATTAAGCAGACCCCTAATTAAGCAGACACCCTCTATTAAGCGGACACTAAACTGGGTCCCTTTAAAACGAACCCCTATTCAGAGGACACCTCTGTTAACCGCACGGGGACACTAAAATATATTGCATTTGGCTAATTTCTATTGTTGATAACCTCTATTAAGCGGACACCGGACTGAATTGACAATAGTACTATTGGATTATGTCCTTGAAATACATACAGTAGCCAATTAATAGAAATACATTTAGCTGTCAATAAACTGTACATTAAACCGAAAGTCTTGCACAAGGTACAGCACAGCTTCCTCAACAACCTGCATGGAACTTTATCACAGTACAGAGTAACCGTTGAAAGTTAATCGTTAACAAACTGACTTGATTTGAACTGACAGATTGCAGGATATTCATATGTAAGAAGTTGATGGCAGATATGAGGAATGAGAGCCACCCCAAATCTTTCTTAGCTCCGCAAGTTATGACAAGATCTATCCCAAATCAGTTAAGATCAGGAAATACTAAACCCACCACAACAATGAAAAGGACAAAGAGGGAAAATGACTTTTTTTACTTTTAGGTTTTCTTGATTCCATTATTATTGTATATAATACTTACTATCGTAAATAGACTTAATTATTAGTATCCAATTGTAAATTGTACTGTATTTCAGTTTTTGACTGCCAGAAGTGTTAATAAACTATTATCATCATTATTATTACATTGCGCAATTTTTACCAGCCTCTATTAAGTGGACACCCTCTATTAAGCAGAAACTTGGGAAGGTCCCGAAGGTGGCGGCTTAATAGAGGTTTCACTGTATTCAGAAAAGTTAGTTTATACAGGGATCAGTTTGAGTTCTAAACCCTAACCCTTATTTGTTATGCCACAACAACATTCATGAACAACAGCATACTAACATAGCTCTAATTTCAGACTAAAGTCATGGCAGAAAAAAGTTTCTTTTTAATTGTGGATACTATTTAAGTAGAAAAATAGGCTGGTATTGGGGTGTGCAACATTAACCTTTTTCCCCCTTTTTCATCCCCCAGAGAAAGGTATGTGTTGAAAACAAAAAGGTCGTTGCAAATGAACTTTACCGCATTGTTTTTTAATATTTCTTTTAGTTTTCTTGCTATACGGATCAGTTTCCTGTTTTTCTAGTCAGTATTTATGATTTTTACTGATCCACGTCTGGCACTCATCCTGGCTACTGTTTTTTATTGTTGGATGTCATGTTACCATGAAGTAGCCAATGACAGCAAATGCTATTGAGGGAGAAAAATGACATCATAGGTGCCACCTACTTCCCTTTCAATATTGGGATTCCTGTAACAATACGACAAAAAGAAATTTGGGTAAAATCAGGCCCAGGTTGTTCAAACGTTGGATAGCGCTATCCACCGGATAAATCACTATCCAGTGGATAGCATAATTGATTTCTGTAATACTTACGTGATTTATCCGGTGGATAGCGCTATCCAACTTTTGAACAACCGGGGCCAGGAAAATAATATCCTAGTTCCAGACCTCTCTCTACTAAGGAGTCCACTCACCACTTGCATTTTTGTTTCCTTGCGTTTCCGTGCATCAAATTCATAATTTTATACAAGAAAGCAAGATGTACGCAATTCTAACCTCGGTTTATCCTTGGATTGTCGCAAACAAGTCTTAAAGGCATCTAACTTCCCCCAAAGTTCCAAAATTTTCTCTTCCTCTTTGGGAAAATCGTGGTACTCTGTCCCTCCACCTGCCATTTCAGGCTCCAAGTTTTGATCAATGTAGGAACAGTTTCGACACAGAAATAGATTACAGGGGTTAAATTTTCGTGTACTGAACTGCAGAAAACCAGTAGATTGTCGAGGAAGAAACTTCCTCAACATCACATGGACCAACTATCCCAACATGCAATCATGATGCAACATCCCAGATCCCATAAAGCCTTTCGAGTTTAATCCATTCAAAATGGCGTCCAGTTACGTGAAAAGGGTAAGCAAATATAAATAAGTCTAGGAACTTTCTTGTTTTGATTTATTATTACAAAAGTAACAGACGAAAACTTGTTAGAAAAAAGATATTTACGTTCATTCATTTGTTGAAAAGGGGAAAATTTCTTCAATTTTATGAGCAAGCTTAAAAGCCAAGCCTGATGATCGGGGATGCAGGATGAAATACTGTATATTTCATTTGCATTGGCTTACAAAATTATTTTGCAGCTGGTGGGCAGAGTGTGAAAAGTCTGGGATCGCAGTCTCTTACTAAGGCATTTTGTAGTGCATAAACTTACAGTTAAATAACCTTAATTTTTCAGACAACTGCTTTAGTTGGATTAACAGTTGCTAAAGCACCAAGAAAGGTATGAATAAAATCTCAATAATCTATCATGAATTAAATGCTCATGGGTTAGTCTCAGGAGCAGCGTATACTGATCATTCTCCGTAGAAATACCCAAACCATGTAAAATAACTTATTAATTTCATGCAAAAAAATATAAAAATATTATTTACTATTATTACTTACTGTGTGTCTATTTCAAAGTCAAAGAAGTGTTCTCTAAGGGACAGTTAAATGTACAGTGTAGGACTGTTCGATTTGATGTGTAATTCTTTACTTACTTCTTCTGTTTTAAAAGACTCTTACAAAACTGTATAAAGATACCTTGGAGGTTCTTGGAAGTATGCCAAAAAGTGCTCAGTACCGAATACATGCAGAACAAATCACTAAACAGAGACTAGGTCTTGTGGAACAGGTGAGTGTAAGTTAAACATTTGACTTTTGCATCTTGCTCTGGTGGCTTTAACACTACAGTTGTATACTCAGTGTTGTCAAAAGTAGCCAGCTACTGACAAAAATCGCCGCCTACTTGGTCAGTATCGGCCAGCTACTTTGCTTGGCATTTCTTTACAGATGGCATGTTCTAAATAAGATATCCCTGGACTGGCCACTTACTTTGACAACTCAGCTATCTACTTGAAAACTTTCCGACAACGGTGGTGTTAAAGTAAAGTTTTCTGAAGATGTTCTAAGCTTATCCTAACCAAGCTACATTTCAGTTTTCCTTTTCTTAGTCTTAAGTCAGGTTATCAGTGGTTTCAAATATTCAATCCTGTTACCAGTGGTCTACTACCCCCTATAGGGCCCTCCTACTGACTTGTTACCCTGTGATTTACTGGTCCTTTTTTAGGTTCATGTTGCTCACCTTACAACAAATACTATTATTGTCTTGTTTTGTTGATGTTTCTTCATTGTTACGCGTCATTAAGATCAAGCTGTCAAAAGAAGGGTGTACCTGATAAGGAAGTTAAACTCCAATAGGCCATTTCCGAGTTCACCTGGGCCTCTGTATCAAAACGAGGCTAAGTGCTCAGTCTTTGATATGAAAATGATTTTTCATTCTCATGCAAATAAAACACATTTTCACGAGAAAGGTTGCGCACTTGGCCTCATTTTGAAAGTGAGGGTTTTTGGACCCCGGAAGTGGCCTATTTAAAGGGGCCAAGTTTTTAACTGTTATCTGTGGCTTGTGGTCTTTGCTGTTGACAAAAAATGATTACCCATTAGTTGTGTATTTGTCATTAGGAGAGCGACATACCTACACTGGAAAACAAACTTGGAGCTGGTCAAATTGAAGAAGTAATTAAACAGGTATTGGATTTGGAGGTCTCTTTAGAACACTGATGTAACTGACACCACTTATCTTGCAGCCTGTTTAACAGAAATATGCTTACATTATCATTGTTTTCAATAAGAGTGCACCAAATTTGCATTTTGTGTAATTAATAATAATAATAATAATAAGATATTTATTTTTTATTTTAAGTATATACATATTCTAAAGTGCTAATAAAAGCTGACAAACACCAACACATAACAAACAACTTACTCACAGAGGAAATGAAAATAAAACACTGCAATCACTGTACATGAGTAGACCATTGCATTAAGAGGTCATGGGACATCATCTTCATGAAAATGAAAGCTGCCTGATTTTGCCTTTGAAAAACGATTAGAGGGTCATATCTGAAACAAAATAATAATGATTTGGCTTTTCAAACCTGCACTATTTTCTTAAAACAAGTAAGTTTGTAGCTGATCACGTAACCAAAATGTGATTTTTAAAATTATGAATTACCTCTTTCTGAACACAAATTTTACACTTAAACTTAAAGGAAAATGTTGAAAGATGATGTGGTAACGTTTACAGCACATCTGAGCATAAATATCAAAGGTTTAACAACATACAAGCAAAAAGTAGTTTTGGCCGCCATGTTGGATGGCGAGAGTATGCCCTCCAACATGGCGGCCAATACAAATCATACTACTTTGTTGAAAAATCAAAGTGCCATAAAATGTCTCCCTTAAATACGTTCCCTCTTAAATTTTGGATGTAAGATAATTTTTATGTGCTCTATCAATTTTTGGCATCATCAAGATTCCAACTCATTGTTTAAAGGAAGCATTGGTTAGGTGATCTCTTAGTGCAAGGGGCCTATTGCTTCATTGGGCAAATGCCAAAGGAAATAAAAAGGTCTTTAGAGCCTGATAGCTCAAGGAAGAGTGTTCCACAGTGAGGGGCCAAGATGAGCGAAGGCCCTGTCTCCAAGGGTCTTGCACTTTGTTTTGGAGACCTTTAATTCCTTGCTGGTAATGGATCTTAAACTGTACGAAGCACCCTCCTTGAAACTAGAAGCTTCTTCACGTAGACAAGGACAACACCAAAGAGATCTTGGTGGATGTATCCTTGAGAACTTCAACATTTCATTTTAGTTCTTTTAAAACTACATGTACCTTTTTACCCAAGTTGGAAAGTTCACCAGGTTATCAACAGAATCACTCACAGTCCTAAGTTGTTCCAAGTTCACTAATTGTCTCTTATTTTTCATTGGCATTTTCATTCTGGAGCTGAACATTAACTATGCCTTGTTTATCACTGTTTTGTTGTATCAAAATAGTAGTCATAGAGGTTTTTTAATTGTGCTGCTATTTTATATATTTAGGCAGAAGATGAGTTGTCTTTAGCTAAGAAAATGCAAGATTGGCAGCCATGGGAAGCCTTACAAAGCCCCCCTCCTGAAAACCAGTGGACATGGCCATAAATACTGGAGCTGCTATGTGCAATAAAGCTTTTGATTTACGTTTTGTACACATTGATTGCCTTTATGAAAATAGAACAAAAGTGTTGTTGCAAGATTGAAAATGTTATTTTTGTACTGAGTGGTTTTAAGTTGTTGTTGTATGATGGCTTCTTATATGATATATATGATATACGCTTAGTAATAATTAGGTGATTGGCTCTTCATGACCATATTGTCTTTTTTTGCTGTGTGGACCCAAAATTCAGCTTATGCTCTGCTTGTATATGTTTTTCTTTGGGCTTTATCCACAAACTCAGTCAACTGTTTACAGTAAACAAGAACATATGATGGTGATAATTTTAACAAAGTTATATCTGAATGGTAATATTTTTTTATTTTCATGCTGAGTTGTTGCCTTGCAATCCTTATCAATGGAATTTGCACCCATTTTCTCATGTTATAAAAAATTTTAAAGCCACACTTTAGTTCAGTATGACATGCCATACATGCAAATACTGTCATGGAAACATAACTCTTAGTTGGCTGATAATAAGGTGGAATACCCACAGGTGATGTAGGACAAAAAGGAAATAAAAATAAAACAAAAAAAATTGATGCTAACATTAAGCTCATGTTGAGAAGAAATAGCATTTTGTGCAATAGACATATGAACTGATTTATGTTCAAAAAACTCTTTAATTATCGTTGAACATTTAAATTTTCACAATTTAGAGTCCTGGAAAAACATGTTTGTGATTTGCAAATACAACCTTTTCCATAAACACATTTATTGGTCTTTGTTATGACTACAATGCAGAAAATTGTTGCAGTCATTAAAATAATGATGTGGTAGTCGATTTCCAGATAATGGGAAACAGAACTTTAAAACTACAACTTAAGTCAAACCCCTACAGATGACACCTCTTGTTCCTTAGGTCATCACTTGATCATGAAGAGACCAAACTGTAATATGGACAAAACATTTTGTTCCTCTGGTGTCTATATTAGGAAGCCAGGGGCGAAGCCACTTGTACACATGATATGCACATGCATACCTGAAAAAGTTGAGAATAAAAAAATATATAATAATATAAAATAAAAAAAGTGAATTATCTGGAAAAAGCAAATAAATAAATTTAAAAAGTACCAAATATATTGATTCATCATTTATTTCAATGTGCTTGTTTCTTTGAAATACAAAAACAAAAAACTTTTTCTTTTCTGAACCTAAATGTCACTTTCCAGAGAAAAACGCACGATTTACTGGTTAAACAAAAAAAGAAAAAAAAGTGCATAGATAGCAGCAAAATGGATATATAAGGCACGAAATTGTTGTTGTAACAAGGGGGTTAAAGGGATTTGGTAAATTGTGTGTACCTCTGTAAAAATCCTGGCTTCACCCCTAGAAGCTTCAATAACTTTGAATCGCAGGTATAATCTTCACCTCCAGCAAGAACTAAAACCCACAAACGTTTTTACTGATGGTTGAAAATGTTTATGAGAACTTATACAAAAGGTGTAAACTCCATTTAGGTGCAGCAAACATTCATTTAAAAATGATTTGGTACTAGTGTGGAAAAAAGAAGCAAGAAAACCATTCAGATGGAGTGTGCAAAAAGAATCTGAATGGTTTTCATGCACTTCCCTTCCTCCACCAATTCCTCCAAAACATTATTTGGGTAACTGCTAGCTGCAAATAGAGCATTAAAACGTTCAGCTTCAACCCTCCACCCATTAAGTTCTCAGACTATTTATCTCTTGAACTAATCACAAATACTGTAAGAGTAGCTGGGGATTATGGTTTTGATATACCAGTAGTCATTTCACGTTTGTCCCTTTGTTCTTTGTTGTTAATCTGTACCATCATTTTCTTCCTCTTTGTCATTGTATGGTATGGGCTTGAATAGCTGCCTAAAGTGAGTTGTCAAAGGACGTTTAGTGGCTCTGTTACATTGTCGAGAAGTACCAGTTGCATGTGATAACTGACATAAGACTCTACTATGACCACTGTTATACATTGGTGTGTCAATATGTGACCTTATTGGCTTAGCACTGATGGTATGTCTCTCTGGGGTATTAGAGCTACAGATATTTGCAGAACTAGTGACTGAAGGATGAAGAGCTGTAACATCAGCTCCTTTGATTAGAAAGGAAGGTGAACACACGGTTTGTACTCTGGGTTTATTGAAGCTATGGTGTTCTTGATTGAGTGAATCAGAGCTCTCTTTGATTATTTCATTGTCATAAGGCTGCTCAGGTTCCAACTTTTGGATAGAAGAACAAGCACCACTTGTGTCTTTAGTAGGAATGTTATCATCCTCTGCAGCTGTTAATTCAGCCTCTTCCTCACAGTCTGACAGGGACAATGGGCTGTTGCATACTGTTTCTCTACCATCATCTGAGGATGGTGGACTTGGTACCAAAGTAGTTTCACTTAGCGAACGGGTAGGAATAGGCTCTGGGGATTCCGAGTTACCTAACAATAAGACAGGATCAGGTGTGGGACCTCGTTCCACTGGGCTGATTGACAGTGAATTTGCATCAATTATTTGTTTGTTTCCTTCAGCTGACTGTTCCTCTTGTAATGGATGAACATCAGGATTTCCACACTGTTCATCTGACTTTGCTTGTAGTCTTGGTGTTTCTTTTTCCTCGCATGTATTAATATGACCAAGGTTTGTCTCTGAGTGTTGATAATATGCCTCCTGACTTAAGATTCCAGATCTTTTCTGGACAAATGCAGAGAAATATTTTGGTGGCTTGGAACACTGGGGTGCATACTGCTGTGCTTGTTGAACACATGATAGTTCATACACTGGGGGTCTTGGATGTGTCTGAGGAGGCTGAGGAGGTGCTATACCAGTACTGCCCATGGGGGGTGTGACTGGCATATAATCTTGTTGCATTACATATGGCATATTTGGTGGCTGTCTCATTCCAACTGGTTGTCTGAATCCTCTATTAGTTGGTACAGGTAAGTATGGTTGTGGCATCAAGCTGTACGACTGTACTTGATTGTTTAAGTACATGCCATGGTTGGAGGGCTGAACTGGAGGAACAAAACAAGGTTGGTATTGCAATGGTTGTGTAGGGTAAGGCATCATGTTTCCTATGACTGCAGCTTGAGGAGTTTGAGGAATATGTGCCCACATTGGTACTTGAAGGCCTATAACTGGACCACATCCGTAAGAAGCTGATGGCTACAAACAACAAATGAAATGAAGAAAAAATCCTTATTATTTTTGTTGTTATGTGTTATGTCAGAGTAGTCATTTAATTGTATTAAGATTAAGTAATCCTGCATGGATTTTCAATTATTAACAAAAGAAGGTAGAGTAAACATTTAACTGTATCAAGATTAAGTAAATCTGCATGGATTTTCAATTATTACCAAAAGAAGGTTGTCAGTCAAGTAGAAGTCAGTTCTTCCGCCAGGTTTACAGTTTAGAAGTAGATCTAGTAGACCAGTGAGAGAAGTATCAAACAAAAGCTTAAAGCTGGCCAGCAACAGAAAACCCAGCAGATCTACTTGTAATTATTGGTCAACACAATCTTATTGCTTTACATCACTAATCATTAGAGAAACAAGTTATTGCCAATTTCTTGACATAACATGTTACCATAGCAATCTTAAGATTAGAAATGTCCACAATGGCTCCACTTTTAACAATTATTCAATTGTGCATATCATGGTTAAGTGGAATATGATTGTTTGTGTGAGTTCTGAATAGGATTGTTGTTGACAGAAACTGACAGTTCAGTACTGTGTGGTAGTCGTCCTCTTCGGAGGTAAGATGACAGAACATCAGCTATTGCACGAACGCTAGAGCTGTAAAAAGTTCCACACCCTCGAGTTTAAAGAAACTGTCTTGTCTAGCCGCTGACTATTAATACTTACAGAAATACCAGTGACTTGAGGAGGAGGCTGAGCTGGAAACTGCATTGGAGTAGGAGCTATCGGTGCAGGTGCTGCATAAAGATTTGGAGATGGTGCTAAACCAGGTGAAGGCGTGAAAAAGACAACATGCTCACTTCCCTGAAGAGCAATTCAATACGTAACTCCTTAATAAATGCATACAGCTAAACTCATTCTCGTTTTTATTACAGACCTGTACAATATTAACTTACCATTTGCGGAGAGGACACTGCGTTTGGATGAATATGACCGTACATTCTTCTTAAAACCTCCTTCCTGACGCCTTTTCGTCTAAAACTTCGCGCAAAGAAGCACAGATTCCGTACGAATGGGTCCCTGGTGTCTTATTGTCAGCGTTAGATATTGCAAAACTAAAGCGCGCGCAAGAACCGCATGTTGACTGACAGTTTTGTAACCGTAATAGAGTGGGGAGGGCTTTGGAGGGTTAGGCAAGGCGAGGGAGAAAAGAGGAGGGAAGACGACGAAAATACAAAACACTATTTTAACAAGGAAAAGGTTGTATCTCCTTCCCCGGCTATATCTTCCGCAAGCTCATGTGAAAAAATCAACCGTTAATTATCGTGCGCGTGCCATCTGTGCTTTATCTTTGTGACGTCAGTTCAAATAATGAAGAGTTGAAAAAAGATTTTTTAAAATGGAAGAAGAAAATATCAAGAAAACCATGGACTCCATAGCTGATGAGGAAGAAGAAGAAGAAGAATTTTCAGAGGACGAGGAGAAACTTAGTTCAAGTACTAGTTCTGGGAGTGAAGACTGGCCATCCACAAATGTCGAGCAGCATGGAATAAAATTGTCGAGAGCGGCTAGCAAGGTGACCTTTAAATTAAAGCTCATTTTAGTTTATCATAAAAATGTCACTATAAATCAGAGAAGAAAGTCATCTTGCCTTTCAGTTCACAGTCAGTACCGTGTGAAATTACCTTGAAAAAGAAGAAATTCTTCTAAAGTTTGAACTATAACTGATACATTTGTACTTGTCCTTAGAAATTGATCTGAAACTTTTCAAACTGACCCGTACACTTCTTAATGAACCAACAAATGGACGATTTAGATTATTTATTTTCTTTCCTTCGAAATATTCTTAAGTCTTAACTTTTACAAAGTAAAGACCAACCAAAAAAGAAAAGATGATAGAAGCCAACGCTTGCTGGATTGGTATCGGCGCCTTAGTTTGTTGAAAGTGTTACCAGGGAAAATTGCATATCTGGTTACCACTCAGTATAGGCTTCGGCATCATCTGACATCATCATCAACAAGAACATTATTATTTGCATTCAACAGACAGACCGCGATGAACCACGAAAGCCTGCAATGGTCCGACTAGAAGATCAGATGAATAACGAAAATCTGGAAATGCTGCAACAAATATTCGAGGTTAGCTGCAGAAAACGATCAGTTTTGTAAATCACTGCCGGCTATTCATTGTTGTACATAAATGGGTTCAGAAAAGAAGGTAAATACATTTAGAGTTGTACGGCAATAACTCTGACCATTAAAACGGCAAAACTATTTTGCAAATTCAAAGCCGTGTTAGTTAAAAGTAATGTGACTGGACTGCAAGTCTTTGTAGATTTGCTTGTAAAAATATCCGATGTCTATCATTAGCGTGCCATCCGACCCCAAGTAAAAGAAAGTTTATAGTATCACTGAATGCTTACGTACCCGGCTGCACGTTGGTAATAAGGGAAAGTGCTCCATCAAAGTTATTTGTATAACTGTTAGAATTAGAAAGTCACGGCTCCCTCTTTCTTCTAGGAAGCGGATGAAGACGGTGGAGGTGGACTGGATCTGGATGAATTTCGCCAGGCTATGATTAAAACTATGGCTGGTAAAGGTGAAGTTGTAAGTACTGACCGGCCGACGCGGGCGCTGATTTATGCCGTCCTTATGTTTGATGTAGTAATAAGTATCACCACCTGTGTGATATGTTTCTTGCCGTAATGAATGATATAAAAAGCGTTTTGTTTTTCTTTCCCTTACAGCCGGATGATAACCAACTCGCCATGATATTCATGAAAGTGGACGCAAACTGTGATGGTACCGTAGATTGGGTGAGTAAGGTGTAAATCAGTCTGAGAAAATCTCCCAAGTTAGACTGTTTGACATATAAAGGAGATATTACGGACAATCGGTCAATACACTGCCTACATATTTACCGGACAACTCACAGACACATACTAGCTATAGCAGCACTAGTATTGCGGTACCCTGTCGAGGCACAAACTGCGGCGGACAACAATTAGGAAACTGAGTGGAAGCTGTTCTATTTATTAATCGCCGTTTCTTGATTACAAAGTACATAAAGTACATTGTTTTCTTCATTTTAGGAAGAGTTTTGTTCATACATGTTACTAGAAACTCAGCTAAAGGATGTGATGACCAGTGAAGATAGAGAGGTGAGGATATGATACAATGCCACTGTTCATCTGGTCAGAATTGATGTTGTTTTTTGCTGGGTTCTTCTTGAGTGCGAAAAGAACAAAAAATGCCTGGTCATGGGGAACATGGTGGAATTTTCTAATGTCACTGATTTTGTTTTTCTTACAGATGGAATTTCCTCATCCCGCTCGGGAAATCCCAAGGTAAAGGTTATATTCTGACCAATCAGTGGCAACTATCCAACAATCAAGAGGAAATAAAAGTGGGTTTCCCATTACACCTGTTTTAGGGGTTGCAGGGAATATTATTAGCAAGGACTGGGATACATTAACGTCAACGATGTAATACTCTATGGTCTTGATTTCATAAACAGCAAGAGTAGGAATCTCATAACTGTACCGCAGCGGCACAGGAATGTTATTCTAACAGGGCGACGACGCCATAACCCTAACCCTGTTCTAAAGTGGGGAACTGGTGAACTGTTGAGTGTTGATACGTCCAAACTGCAAAAAGCATCTCGTATAATATCGTAGAAAAACAACTGATTTATTTTGGAAAAAAATTTTCAAGTTTGGAGTTGTATAACAATTCTTTGTTTCAGTTGCCATCGTGACACGATCACACGGATAACACACCTACCTAAAGTATCTCATGGTACTGATGATACTACTGACAGTAACGGCGCCGGGAGATATGTATCAGTCAGCAGGGAAGGGACTCTACATTTCTGGACTATGGACCTCATGCAGCCGCAAAAAACTTTATCAGTGAGTAGTATTAACATTCATCCTATCATGTGGTACTTGTGAAATGTTTTGAATAGCCTGCGTAGCTGGAGGAATTGTTTTTCAGCGTGTGAGAGTTTTTGGAGCAAAAACAACACTTTCCCCCACCAAAACTGTCCTCGCGCGGACGATCCCGCCGGAAATCACGTCTTTTATTATGGTGTCCCTTATATTTTACAGTTAGGGCATGAAGCAAAAGCCAGTAAGAATGTGTGGATAACAGACTGTGTCGTTTTATCAAATGCCAAGAAGTTTGCTTTGTCTACAGCAGACAGGGAGATTGGTTCGTATCAGTCCTTAGACTTTACTTCCGTGAGCTGATCACAGCTTTTGTTATCCAAAGTACCGTCCAACTTCTCTTTCTTTCTTTCTTTTCTAAAAGCTTTAATATGTGCTTTATTTTTTTCTCTCAACTATAGCATTCTATGACTGCTCCGCAAACAGTTTTGACAAACAGTTTGTGATTTGTAGCTTGGACTACTGCGTGTTGACCATGGATTACTGGTAAGGATAGATCTGTATTACTCTGAGGGCTTCGACCACAACAACCCTTTCCTATTAGTAACCGACTTTGGTCAAACCTTTTTAGAAACTTACGACTCATGTGCGTCCTACTCTCTTCACTAATTTAAGCAATTATAACAGCCGCTTGGATTGGCAGGATCGATATTTTTCCAGTCCAGTCAACAAATTACCCCGTTAGAAAATGTGTCAAACCTCACTCGTCATTTAATGTTTTTCAGGTACAGCTCTGCAAAGTTACATGAAGGAATTTTACTGTTTGGTGATGCTGGTGGTTCGGTGTTTTGTTTAAAGTTTTCTGCCATCACAGGATGTATGTTTGACTTAAACCTCGCTCAGCAGATGCCATCAGGTCAGCGGCACTACAAATCCCTCACTAAAACTAATGATTACGAATAATTTCCCTTTAAGAGCAATGTTCATGTTTTCTACGTGTTGATCTGGTTTTAAGTGTTTTTTCTTTCTTTGTCGTCAGTATCATTCAGGCGCGTTTCTTTCTCCGAACTGCAACAAGGAAAACATTCTAACTTAAAACTCTCTCAATTTAATGTAAGTATCAGTACTCATGAGTATCCCAGCGTAGTATCTATAAACAAGACGTTCAGAACATTTTTTAAATACCACTATCCTTTTCCATAATCTTGCCATGATTTTCTTTCTTGTTTTCATGGAGTAATCGCTTACTTTGTTAAGAACCATAAGTACTTGCTAGAATGGTCTCCTCTTTTTAGCTCTACCTGTCACTTATTGTAAACTTGCTGTTTTAGGGTCTTCATGAGGACTGGGTTCGTAAAGTGAAATACTATCCATCTTTGCAATGTTTCATTTCTTGCGCGACAGCAAGTAGTACTTCAATGTACCTTGGAGATCTGGACAGGAGGAAAACGTTAGTACAATCAACTATAAAAATTAAATCACGGAAGAACTTTTGACTGTTCATATTTTTATCTTGTACAGGTTCGGAGGACAGAGAATGCCCGATCCTAAGCCTAACCCTAATTCTACCTTCGACCCATTTTAGGAAACAAAATCCTAAAAATAAAAATAACCTGTCTAGGACTAAGGTGAAAATGCACGCCATCTTGATTTAAAGTCATTTATTGCAAATTTCAGTTGAGTCATTGCTTTTGAATACTTCAAATTAACAAGTTTCATTAAGAAAAACAAATATATCGTGCATGCAATACCCTGTTTATAACTAGGACAGACTCTCACGAAGTTATATCAAGAGAGAACAATGGATCCATTATTATCTCTTGATCATATACTTCGCTTAGGACAGAGCCAGAGGATAAAGCCAGACGCTGTACAGCGGTACAGCGGCAATTCCCCGTATAGGCCATATAAGCCCCTTCCCCACCCCACCCCCCACGCCGCAACAATTACCCCAGGGAGAATGAGGGCAGCTCGCAAGAATAAGCAATCGACTATTACCACCAAAAATGTTTAGTATCCATCTCCTAACAAAGCAAGGAATCACTTGTTTCTCTAAAGGTTTTCTAATTTTTAAATAATCCCGCAGGAGTTCCGTGTTCCGAATCCGTAAAGGAATTTCTTCATTTGACTACTGTAAAGAGTGGAATGTTATAGGTGAGGCATTAAGTAATGATCCGGGTAAGGTGGATAGCAATTCCTTTTGTTATGCGGCAACGGTGCTCTCCCCACATGGGAATGCTCTCATTTTTACACACAGAATGCATAAACCTACATGAAGGCCGTTAACGCAATAAAATGCATTTACACTCCACTTTGAAAGGGTGTTTTTTTCTGTTAAAAAAATTTGACCAATCACAAGAGTTGAAAACAATAGCCAAGAAAAGTTTACAATTTTACATGTTCCCCACATAAGATTTCTTTGTTATTCAAACTGAGACCAGATTTTGTTATATGGAAGATGTTTGGAAAGTAAGGATGAATATATGTACCGCTTTATGAAGTTTTGTTAACTTTTGCTGTTTAAGCCAATCAGAAGTAAATACAGAGAATAGAAAAGTTAGCACCTTTTTTTGCATTCCAACATGTACGTTGCCGTTGTTGCTATCGTTCTTATCTGGACCGTTTCTTAAAAAAGACACATCAGTTTGTCCAATGACGTCATATCAGTAATACAGACACACACGTACACAAAAGGTACTAAACTGAATATCTAAAGGTTTTTATTTCCTAGTGACAGGTGGTCTTGACCATTACGTGCGTCTGTGGAATCCTTACGTCACAACTAAAGCCACCTCGGTAAGATACTAATATTGTCATCAATGTCACAGGTTTGAACGTCTGAAATGTAAGACTTAACTTCCGTCCTGTTAGGTCGGCCTTATCTTGATTATTGTATCACCACTCCGCGTATAAATGGTTACCGCCCAACAGAAACAGCGCCATTTATCTCCCAGCAACACGTCTCTGTAAAACACTTGGCTTTGCATGATGGGCTCACGAAATACACTACCTCGGGTTTATTTTGCAAAACGCAACGTTTGCGGTTATGTGACATAAAAGTAGTTTAATTAATCTGCTATTCATTATGTTTTAGGTGCTGAAGGGCCACAGTTCAGCGGTTACTCACATTATAGTAAACAGTGACAAGGGAGAGATCATCAGTGCTGCCCAAGACAAGGTTAGTCCGCGGTCACTGTTGTCAGTGCCACGCATCCATCCATGATATACTTACTGACAATAACGCTCCTCGTGAAAGCGGTAAAAGGCGTAGACACACACGTACACAAAAGGTACTAAACTGAATATCTAAAGGTTTTTATTTCCTAGTGACAGGTGGTCTTGACCATTACGTGCGTCTGTGGAATCCTTACGTCACAACTAAAGCCACCTCGGTAAGATCCTAATATTGTCATCAATGTCACAGGTTTGAACGTCTGAAATGTAAGACTTAACTTCTGCCCTGTTAGGTCGGCCTTATCTTGATTATTGTATCACCACTCCGCGTATAAATGGTAACCGCCCAACAGAAACAGCGCCATTTATCTCTCAGCAACACGTCTCTGTAAAACACTTGGCTTTGCATGATGGGCTCACGAAATACACTGCCTCGGGTTTATTTTGCAAAACGCAACGTTTGCGGTTATGTGACATAAAAGTAGGTTAATTAATCTGCTATTCATTATGTTTTAGGTGCTTAAGGGCCACAGTTCAGCGGTTACTCACATTATAGTAAACAGTGACAAGGGAGAGATTATCAGTGCTGCCCAAGACAAGGTTAGTCCGCGGTCACTGTTGTCAGTGCCACGCATCCATCCATGATATACTTACTGACAATAACGCTCCTCGTGAAAGCGGTAAAAGGCGTGTTGTATGTGTGACCAGAATGGCACCATAAAAATATGTAAATAAAGCTGACGGATTCAACAAGATTGTAAACCATGAAATGCTTAGAACTTTCCTACAGAGTATTAACAAGATATGAACAAAAGAAAATGCGCTGTTGACATTTTTTGAAAATGGATACTTTGCTTTGGTCAGTTTTTTGTAACTTAATCGCTTTGAGCGTGCCCTCGCCTTTTTTTTCTGTGGCGTTTTGAGCTGAAGACTTTCATTTCTAATTCATTTTTTCCCCGCAGGTTATAAAGATATGGGACATGCGCGACTTATGTTGCGTACAAACTATCCCTGCGCGGTCTTTGTTACCAGGCCCTCATCAGATCTCAAGCCTGTATTTTAACTCCAAATCTCATTGTATTTTTGTGGGAACCAATCAGGTGAGACTGCTTTTTACCTTAATGATTCGAAAACGTATGAGTGGAATTGCGTACGATCGTTTAGTCCCCGCAGTCAATAATGGAAGTTTTAAGCAGCCCGACTTAAGCTGAGTAGGGAGACACTCACCAAGTTCATTTTAGCTTTAGTTCGGTACTCTTTTGTAACTGTTTCGTATTTCCCAAGCGTGAACATATAAATGTGAACTAAAATGATATTTTTATTTCGTTAGTTGTCAGTGATTGAGGGAAAAAGTGAAGAGCCGTCAGAGGAGAGGGACATCTGTAGTCATTTCAAACCGATATGCGCCGCTATTTACAACGATCTCTTTGACCAGGTAGCAATTCCTGTTATCTAATAAGCCCAATATCCGTTTCGCTTCTGTTTTGAATTGCCTTCCACAGTTGAAAGAGCGCTGTATCCAAATTGTTCTGTTTTTCTATCATTTTTTCTTTCAATTATAAGGCTTATGTAAGATGTTTTTCTTTACTCCTCCTTTCCACAACCCTTTATATATTGTGTAAACAAGATAAGGAATGAACTTAACACACCGACCTTATTTGGGATTGTAAGTGAAATTTTGTTGCCTGTAGGTTGTTAGCGGATGCCACGACTCTGTGGTTTGTGTTTGGAGTCTGGAAACAGGCGAAAAAATCATTCAGTTTTCAAATGCTCATGGTAACTCGGAAATTACTGCAATGAGGTTTGATCCGTCCAAGAGGCGCCTTATAACTGGTGCAAGAGATGGAACAGTTCGGATTTGGAACTTTAATAACGGTTGCTGCCTGCGTGAATTACAAGCTGTTGATGACCAAGAGGTAATTTGTACGGTAAAATTTATCTGGACCCTAAACCAAAGCCTTTAGAAATCTTGTAAACTGATCATCTTAGCTGTCTGGTTTAAGCCCTTGATTTTGCCTTGTCTCCTCGTCATTTGTTACCATCAAATCAAAGGCAACGTAAAGAAGGTAAAGAACACTTGGGGGACATAGACGGTGTGGCCAATGTGTGATCTACTGCTAATCACTTCATTCATAAATCAAGAGTGCAGATCAAAAATGAACTATATACAAGGGAAGCAAGCCGAGAAGGTCCCGTATGCTAATTCCAATTCTTCTGTACACATCATAATCAGTTGAATCGGGCACGGCTTATCATTGTAGGCTCCATTTTCCAGCGCCACTCTCTCGGGTCCGCCCCGCCGGAGACGAGAGGCCAGGAGGAGCGTAGGCTCAGGACCGAACATCGGCTGGTAATCAGCCTACAGTAGTTATTATCATTGGAGCTTGCAAACTGGACCTGCCGGGGCTACAAGTTCCTTGACAGTATTTTGTGCACTTAATCGTTGTACATTGGATAAGGATTACAGAAGACACACATAATTTACGATGAATATTTCAAATGGAATTTTCTCTTTTAACTTTGTCAGATTACAGGCATATTGTGCTTTAAACAAAAAATCATAACAGTTGGATGGAGCAGAAAAGTCACCATTTACAAGTAAGCCGATTCTACGTGTTTCTTAGCTTGGGATATTATCAGTAAGAGATCAGAATTCCTAGTCATTTCTTAACATTTCTCTGTGTATAGTCNAGCCCTTGATTTTGCCTTGTCTCCTCGTCATTTGTTACCATCAAATCAAAGGCAACGTAAAGAAGGTAAAGAACACTTGGGGGACATAGACGGTGTGGCCAATGTGTGATCTACTGCTAATCACTTCATTCATAAATCAAGAGTGCAGATCAAAAATGAACTATATACAAGGGAAGCAAGCCGAGAAGGTCCCGTATGCTAATTCCAATTCTTCTGTACACATCATAATCAGTTGAATCGGGCACGGCTTATCATTGTAGGCTCCATTTTCCAGCGCCACTCTCTCGGGTCCGCCCCGCCGGAGACGAGAGGCCAGGAGGAGCGTAGGCTCAGGACCGAACATCGGCTGGTAATCAGCCTACAGTAGTTATTATCATTGGAGCTTGCAAACTGGACCTGCCGGGGCTACAAGTTCCTTGACAGTATTTTGTGCACTTAATCGTTGTACATTGGATAAGGATTACAGAAGACACACATAATTTACGATGAATATTTCAAATGGAATTTTCTCTTTTAACTTTGTCAGATTACAGGCATATTGTGCTTTAAACAAAAAATCATAACAGTTGGATGGAGCAGAAAAGTCACCATTTACAAGTAAGCCGATTCTACGTGTTTCTTAGCTTGGGATATTATCAGTAAGAGATCAGAATTCCTAGTCATTTCTTAACATTTTTCTGTGTACAGTCCACTAGCCAGCTGCGAGAGCATCCGGTTTATTCGGCGCAAGTTCCTAGTTTCACCCGCTGAGAAAAACCGGGTGAAACTAGAAACTTGAGCCGAAAAAACCGGATGCTCTCCGGCGCAGGCTAACAGTCCACATCACAAGTCACCCTTGATAAACAGTCTTTGTGGAATGAGCTAGCAAGCTTGCGTGAACCAGTCCTTTGTTCTAGCAAAAGGGAAAAAAAGGAGTGGCTCCTTTGCAGGCTGTGAACTAATGTGAAACAGTGAGGCTCCATAGGGACCTCAAATAATTGCGTAGCAACTTACCTAGTACGATATGTAGCGAATTGACAAGGATTGCATCAAATACAGCGGAACCCGCTCTGTACTTCATTTCTATATTATTCTAATTTGTTCTAATGATGTTACTCCGATTCTGTTGACTCCAAGACAAAGTCATTCACTTTATTTTACGTTTTCCCTCTTAACTACGGGTGCGCAGGCAACTATTACTTATGTCTTTGTTACAGAGACTGTCGAGATGAAGAGGAAGCTGACCCGCGTGTATGGAACAATTTTCACGAGGACGACATTTTATCGGCTGCCCTGTATCCCACTGGTTTAGTTGCCACCTCAGCTTATGATGGCGTTGTTAAAGTCTGGAATATTGATAGTGGACATGTTAATTGCAAACTAACTGCTGATAATTATGGTTTGGAAACAACACGATCTCTCATTCCGGCAGATGTTAAAAGACAAGTGTCGTATGGTAATGCAGGTATGGACATAAACGAAAAAAATTCAAGACTTGGCAAACAGAAAAACTTTCTGTGAAAACAATTCGAGCAGTTGTGAATATATTAGCGTGAGGCAATTTTTTTTACTTATGCAACGCTTGTATTAAAAGCAGTTACGATGTTCTCTTTGATGTCATTGGAAATGATATCTACTAAAAAGTATCCTTAATTATTTAATTGCAGTTTACTCCACATAGTTATTTGTAGGGCCCGCCTACCATGAATATCATTAATTTAATTTTCTGTTAAATGTTTTTTTTTATTCTGTCCACAACAAGTGATCGAGGCAGTGAATAGATTTAAAGAGCCAATTAACAGGATCAAGAGTTATGATGCCGCTGATCAAAAGAACCGCTGGTCTACATTGACATCAGGAGTGCGGACAAAGATGGAAAACAATGAAAAGAAGAAAGGTATACTTTCAGGTTTACCACAAGTGAAATTCCGATCGAGTTATCACGACTCCTCAGTAGACAAGGTATGGTATACTTAACTCGTTGAAAGTGAATGCTTTTCAGTTTTACCTCAATCGGTGAAGTTTATGTGCCTCAGCTTGTTTACTTTCGTTTAGGTTCTCTTCTTAGAAAAGCGTGAAAGCAGCATTTCCACAGCGACTTTAATGACAACTGGTTGTGGTGGCTCAATAAGGGCTTGGAGTGTGACAGGAGGGGGACTTCTTGGTCATTTTACCGCTGTCCAAGAAGAACATGAGTCTGTTCTCTCCATGACAACAGATCTCAACAATTCTATACTTGTAACGGGTGACAGCGCTGGGTTTGTTAAGGTATGGGACTTCGGTTTAAATAGGATTCGTACTTTTTCATTTGCAAAGTAGCCACAACAAACGAAAGCTATCTGTACTGAATGACAAATAGTGTCACTGAGAAGCAATCAGAAACTTTACATTCTTACCAATATTCTGACCTAGAATGAGCCAGCCTGCAGCCTGCCTGCCTCGCAGACGTAATTTAACCTCAGTTAGTAACTTCTGCGAAGCAGCGCCCGCGATATTCTTGTTCTAGGCCCCCCAACGGACTCAACGAACTACAGGAAGAACGTTTCGAATTTTCTCTCATCTGGAGTCGCAAATTTAACAGGCCAATCATGGCGCCTACTCACATCCTGGTACTCAGATCCAGGCCCAGAACAAGGATTTCAGCGCTGTTGGGCAGACGGACCAGCGTTTAGTTTCGTCAGCGGCGCAGACTACCTGGAAGCAGCCAGCCAATTGCGAGATTCTTTTCAAAACGCCCACCAGTACTGATAAACATCGGAGGGGCCAGAATATGTTAAGACCCGAGAATAGCTTGCTTTGTAACACTTGTCGGCTGAGTGAAAACGACTTGTGCTGTTTTTGAATGTTTTCAGGTTTGGGAGATCTCTCGTTATTGCATAAACTCAAGCGAGCAGAAGCTAACATGTACACTGCTGCTAAGAAAGCTGCCGTCAATCCACAGAAGATACAGCACTAAAAAAGGAACAATTGACATCAACCCTCCCCCACTGCTTGTTACATTCCGTGCTCATTTGAAGCCTGTTGTCAGCCTGGATTTTGTCGATAGTCGTCAGTTCATTATCAGTTCTTCAGTAGACGCCTCAGTACGACTTTGGACGCAAACTGGGAGATACATCGGTAACGTGACCGTTCTTAGCACTCTTTTAAGCAAATGAGCCACGTTTTAGTTCATCACTCATAAGAGGTGTTTGGTGATTACTGAAGAAACAAGACGCGAATCAATCAATCAATAAAAAAAGGTTTACCATGCATGTCAGAAGGATACTCGTGTCTCCAGTTTATCTCTTCTTTTGCGTGGAGCCGGCCTTTTTCCCCCCTTTTCCTTTTATTCATTCCGTAGGAAAATGACAAAATATTTCACCTACATGTGTTACATTCACATGTGGATTAGGGGCAAAAAATAATAAATTAATCAATAAATAACGTTATGTATGTTTCGTTCATAGGGACGTTTGGCCAGCGAACATTGTGGGATTTGGAGAAGGCAGCCAAAGAAAAACGGAGACTTCCGCCGGATATTTATCGGATCGCATCAGCTGAAACTCTGAGAAACCTACATAGTTCCCCTGGTCCGAGGTGGAGGTATAAAAAAACTAGACTAGCAATGGCGGATGGGAAAAAATAACGAAAAAAAAAGGGTGCAAAAAAGGGAAAAGAAAGTAAAGTTAGATTTCTGATCCAAAAAGGTCAATATAACTGCTTACATTTCTAGCAACGTGAGGTCGCGACTTGATGAAGACCACACCCCTTCAATGGCAACTTACCATTTAAACACGACAGAGCTAATAAAACTACACTTCGTGGTCTTCCCGGGAACAAGTTAGAATATTGTTCAAGTATTGCCCCATAAATTACTTTTATGACAACTAATTACAGGATAAAATGGTCTCGGTCGGTGTAAAGATTCTCTCAATATTAACCTTTCGGGGAAGTTTTTGATAGCCGGTTTGGTGGATCTCTTAATAAAATGTTTTCTAGTTTTCTAATCAAACAGTTACTCTTTCCCAGCCCTCTTAACCAGTAAAATGCCACTTGGTAGATCAAAATATAAAGCAAAAAGTGCTTTTTAACATTTTTGGTGGCGCTAACTCGATGGCGGTGCTCTTTCATTAATTCGTGAATACCCTAATTTAAAAATGGTAAGCCAAAATACCCATTTTGGAGCTTTCATTTGTGAAATAATAATTTTTTTACCAAAGGTGTGTCTGTTGTTGCTCTATTGTAGACTTGCAAGACACATAATGCGAATAACAGCTATGTCACGCCGTGGAACCCAACAACACACACACNGCTTTTTAACATTTTTGCTGGCGCTAACTCGATGGCGGTGCTCTTTCATTAATTCGTGAATACCCTAATTTAAAAATGGTAAGCCAAAATACCCATGTTGGAGCTTTCATTTGTGAAATAATAATTTTTTTACCAAAGGTGTGTCTGTTGTTGCTCTATTGTAGACTTGCAAGACACATAATGCGAATAACAGCTATGTCACGCCGTGGAACCCAACAACACACACACGAAGCTACAGACAACACTGACGATGAAATAGAATGGGACACAACCATAACACACTCGCTTGAAAATGTACTGGGAAAATTTTACAAACCAAAGACCAGGCACCGCTTCTTTCCACCTCTACCGAGGCTGAAATTTAACCAAGATCAAATGATAGTTTACTCGTCTTTGAATTTCAAAGAACTTCAAGCGATAGAGGAACCAAAAACACCAGCGGTGTTGTGGAACCACAATACACGATATAAATCTTCATCTTCTCTTCTTCCTCGATTCCTCACCAAGGTTACAGGTCACCGAGGGAGCTCTGAATCTAAACAGACCTCTTATTACGGCAATACGTCCGTCAAACAACATCGTGCAGCCAATCAAATCAGAGCGACAAAGAGTGCATCGCGAAAACCAAACGACGGGTTAATGCGATCAACGCTAAAAAAATAGGTTCCCTCTTTATTATAAAGCTTAATATTGTAAAACAAATTAAAATCTTATTGAATTAAATTGAGGTCACTTACGTTTTCAAGCCATTCTGATGTTGTCATGGGGAAGTGAAATAAATATGTTTGCTCTGTGTGTGACACGCCCGTTGTTTCACCACCACTGTTTGTGTTTGATCTAGGGGACGTTTCTTTTTTTTTAGTACAGTTTTTCTCCAATACAGTAAGAAAAAGCATAAACGTATAAACTGAAAAAATTAGTGTAGAAGGAGAAGGCAGAATCCAAAAGCGCACTAGACACAGTGCGTGGGTTGCTCCTCAGAAAACTGCAATATAATATGGAGATGTTAGTCATCGTCTCCAATTGAATTTATATGATCTGGTGTGTTTTAATTGCGATGGTGCGCCTTTTACCAATTATTTGTCAATTTTTGCCTTTCTTATACAGCGATTTTCGCTTGACCCTGAGACGATTACGCATGAACAAAAACAAACAAAAAAAACAATAAAAACGATTACGCATGGAGAAAAGGAACTGAACAACACCAACAAAAAAACGATAAAAAATAAAAGCATTTGATTGGTTCCTCAAACAGACACAAACGCGAGCGGCTTTTGGTTGGTTTAGCTTAAAGCGAGGCGCCGGGCCGGGGGGGGGGGGGGGGGGGGGGGGGGGGGGGG